CAGAATTTCTCGTTAACAAATATAACAGCCCATTAGATTTGATGAGAGTATAATTGGAAAATATGGAGAGAGTTGGATGGTTTTGCAGAGAAATTTTTTTTTAAAAGGATGATAGATTTCCCTACCCAAAACAGATTGTAACTTTAGTGGTAAGGCTAATCATATTGGACTCTGATGTTAACTCGAAGGGTATCCGTTTGCTAAACGTTAACTTTAACCGAGGTATCATTGGATTTTAGACCAATGTTATTCTTTATATAAGGTTGAATTAAGTACATTGATTTGGGCAAAACACCGATGCACATGCGTTTTGAACTGTAAGAGGTAATCGTCGTTTTTAAAAATGGAGAACAATATTTTTTGAAAACGTTGTCTTCGTGCAAGTAGTCTCATTCTTTGCATAGTTCACGGCCAGGGAATGGACATTCTATATAAAATTTTGATTATATTCCATCATTGTCCTTTCTTTCATTGATTTTTTCAACATGTAACTAATTAAAAAGGCTGTCTAGAGAAATTCTCCAGCGTTACTAAAACATGATGTGCATTGACGAAGAAAAGATTACATTTCTTTCTTATAATATAAAAATAAACATAAATCTAGTAGACTGGAAACTGTCTTTTTATTCCATATTAATTTTAGTCTTAATTTAATGATAGACTTTACGACGCTGGGATATGTAGAAGTTGTTCTGCAACTCAGTACTTTTAGTACTCATGTACCCTGCTTGAACTTGTTATACTGATAGTTCATTATCCGTTTGAAAAAAAAAAGAATTTAAATTTAGTTTCTTAGTTTGTTACAACCAATAAAACATTAAAGGATCAGTCCGACAGATTTGCAATTTGTGAGACCGATCTTCCTCAGAAACGTGCATTTTTTTTTAGCTAAGCTAATCAGTATTAGTGTTTATCGTCGAAATTTGAGCCTTCAAATTCACATGGTCATCATTTAAAAGTGAAAGTGATGACTTTTCTTTAGATTTTAAGTAACATTTTCGTGCAGATTAGTTGCATATATTCAAGACCTAAATCAACTTCACCCCACCGCCCGAAAATGGCCAATTTAAAAGGGGCCATGTTTATGTAAGTTAAATATTATCAAGTTAATGTTTGTTGCAGCTGCATCTAATACATCAATCCATGAACCAAAATGTCATTACAATATCCAAATCAATGACATTCTACATAAAAGTTACACTGTAGGAGAGGAAGACCACAAACAAGAGGGAAAGAAGGGCCTTATGATAATAAAGTAAACTCTATATCATAAATAGTTTGCGTTTTGTTTAGAAAAAGTCACTTTATTCTGCGATGAATGCCCATTACGTAAAACTATAAAAAAAACTTTACAAAATGTTTACCACTTGAAGTCTTGTGTAAATAGTCGGAATAATGTTTTAAAATGGTGCCAGGTATGGCCTATTTCACTTGTGAATCATCACACCATAGCGATCACAAGGTGCGTATGATTGCATTAATAGTAATAAGAAAACTTTTGTTACGTTCGGACCACTTTAATTAAAAACAACCATACGCAACAAGTAATTGCTATGATGTAAGGGAACCTTAAGGTATAAAGACCTTTCAAACAAGAGGATTATCCAATGTTTTGATATTTAAGATCGTGTTTGATGACCTTTATATCACTAGAATGAAAATAGATCGAAAACTAACTTTGATTTGTGATTGCATTGCTTACAAAGAATTGTGCACTATTTGCGTATAAGGAGGTCATGAAAGCAAGACTCGTTGTCAAATATTTCACAAGGGTTATAATAACTCTTATAATGAGCTACAAGTTAATTGTGTAGAATGTCAAGGGAGGGATTTCTCGTGTCAACACTAATATTAACCATGTTGGCATTTACCAACACTATAGTCTACTTCAATGCCTCGTGGCTAAATATCCTTTCTTTCATTTACTATTTAACGATGTATAGTTGACAAATGTAATAATGTGAACGACATTTAAATTCGTCGAATGTGGATGGTTCAATTGTCTTGGAACCATGGTGGGAAAATCTCATAAAAGAATTCGTGCAATATATACAAAACTAAGTATTTTGAAGGCTTCTTTTAAACAGGTAGTGAATAAGATGTAAAGGGGTCTGAACACAATATCGCTCGCCAGTTGCGTATGGTTGCGAATAAAAATAAAGGTCATACATTTCAACACATCTCTCAAGAAACTGAGTTGCGTTTGGTACTCACGACCACTTTCATCTTTCGCAACCATAGTCCTACGCAACTTACTGGTAATCGCTATGATGTGAGGGAACCTTACTGAATGACCAAAGGTGCTGTTAATCTGTTCTTACACCTTTCATGAGGTTGGTCAACAAATTGCAATATACAAAAGAGAAAATATGTACATTTTCGACTGAAATCAGGTTGATATTGTATAACAACATTTTGCAATTGGTGGATATCAGTATTTGGGCTGGTTTAACACTAACAGTAAATAACGAAAGTTCTTGAGCAGTCACTAGTATGTTACCTGTGTGCCAGTCTGTTGGTGTTGCTAGTGACCCAATGACTGTCCGGGATTCCATCTGTATCCACATTAAAGTACTGTTTGGCCATATATGAAACACATAGCTTAGAGCAATTGATTGGCTTGAAAATTGCTTCTCCTTTAAGGAAATGCTTTTCCAAGTGAAAATGGTATTGAAAGGCTTGACATTTATTCTATAGAAGATATATTAACTTCATACTTCTCGCAACATAGAACAATTCTCCACTGTCAAAATATGATGGATTAATTTGATCTATCTATGATTTTATCGGGGATTATTATTAAAGAAATTGTGTTAAGAGTCAGAATAAGATTGACATTATTACTATCAGGTCATTATGTCAGTATGCCAATTTGTCAGTTTGTTTATGTCAGATTGGTATTTCGATGTGGATTGCAGGTGTTCTGAAACTTAAAGGGACATTCCGCTGTTTTGTGAAACATTTTCATTCTCAAAAACATCGTAAATTGTACCTGAAAATATTTCTAAAAAATGCTATTTTAATCTATGTATTTAGTAATAAAACTGTGCTTGTTTTAAAAGGGTTAGTTAAAAAGGTAGAGTACTAATTGTTAGTATTGGCTTTATAATGGCTCGATTATTGAAACCTTAAGAATACGTAGGAGACATATTTCTCTCAAATTCGGCGTTTATTTTACTTAAATCCGTACAGTAGTACAGCGTAACAAACTTTAAAAGTTAACTTAAAAATTACGTAATGTTTTTAAATAGTTTTGGCATGAAATTCTATAAAATATTGATAGATTTGGTACCTAGACGATGGTGTGAGTGTTGGTCTTCACCACCAGGAAGTGTTTAATTTGAATTAAATTTATTAGATTGAAAGAAATCCTAAAAGTTTTACAATTACAAATTATCTTTTATATCAGATTGTTGATTCTATTTCTATTTTAAAATGTCTAAGGAGAACTGTAACTGAGTATTTGCGATTTACATTAGGAAAAGCATCATAATCACACTTACGTCCTAGGCAAGGCTTGCCTCACCTAGTGCTGATGTAACGGTTCTCAATTTTCTGTCTGGTTTTAACAGCTGAAACGTTTATTTGATATTTGATTATAATGGATACGAAGGTATTCGACGGTAATTCGGAATTAGAAGTAGTTATTATCCATTCACAAAATTATATTTTGATTTTAGTATCTGAAATTTGTTAACGAAAATAGAATTTGAGTCTAAAATCATTTTACACTTGACTTGTTGAGTGAGTCGCATATCCTGAAAAGTGTTTCCTGTTCTGTCAAAAAAGTCTTTAGGAATAATCTTTCACGAATTCCTCTGCAAATTAAATGTCTTTTATCTGTTTAATGTCGTAACGTTCTACACTAGAAATCGATGAAGTTTAAAAGGCATTACATTGGTAAAAGCGAGAGTATTATACAGATTTGAACTAAGTCATTTAAAGTTCTATGTGGAACAATCTGTTAGTTTTGCTTATGAACTCAACCACACTATGGACTCGAGCTGTTTTTACACTGCTAGAAATTGAAGGAAGCTTGACATTTTTCCAATTGAAAGTGTGTCTTGGTCGATTCAATATTAGATAAAAACTCTATTCGATGTTTAATGTTTGTGATTTTTAGCAAGGCAACTTTCAGTTTTTATTTCGATTTAATGGATTCTGTGACATATGCACTGAGGTCTGTTGCAGACGATGACGGTCGATAAACTGTTTCACAAATATATTCCAGTATTGGCATATAATTCCTTTAACCATAGGAGTACATTTTTACAATTTCATTTCATGTCACATGCAAATATTTGATGTAATATAATGACCATTTCAGTAATACACAGATATGGGCTTAATGTTCAAAAATTATTATTTGTGAACCTAGTAATTTTCTCTCAGCCCCTAACATAGTGCTTTGATACACATGATTATATAATTAAATTCGATTTCCAATCCTATTTGTTTAAGTGTCTATTGTTTTGGGCTATTTTCATTGAAAAATTTGATCTAAATCTGACACTAAAAAACTCGGAAATATTCTTTAGTTGGCCAGGCAGTTCACCCTTTTTCAACTTCAAAATGTCATCCTAAATATGCAAAGATTACGTAATCTATCGAAAATTCCAATATTAGGAAAGTAGGATACTTGTGGTAGCGACTAACCTAATATCTAATTTGTCGCTGGGAAACAGAGGGAAGAGGGTCCCGCTTCGCCCCCACCCCCTCCTTCACTTTGAAATTCCTTATTATTGTACAGAGTGAATGGACTGTCTGTGGAACAGACCCCCAAGCCTTGCCTTGAACGACCGAGAGTAAACTTTGTCTAATAGAACCTGCATACTGAGAAAAAATGTCAAATATCCCAAAATATATGTTTAACGAACATAATAAATTGTCTGTGAGCTCCGACAAATTTGAAAAGCTCTAGTTTATTCTATAATATTATTTTTTTCTAATTTCAGATGGATTGTTGTATGTTATGGTGAAGTGGGATCAGGCAGATCTGAATGAGACTTGCTATGCTGTGTCTGTGTGGGGCGTCGCCGACAGAAGAGTCGACATTTATTGATGTTAAAAGAGTAATTGAGGAATATGCATGGAACGAATTTAAATCCTCAATGGGAGCCGTCTCGAAAACGTTTTTAAGACGTCGTGATTTTATAATAGAAGTGCCCCTAAACTATTATCACACAGAGGACATCGAACAGAGGTTTGTTCAACGGCAGCTTAAACCCGCGTCTTCCCGAAATATCAGCCAAAAACAAGAAAATGTGTCAGAACTCAAAACTGAATTTCGTAATAATACGGATACAAATCAGACATACAAGTTTCGATTCGAAAGAACGCGAAAAGCTGCAGTGAATGTTACTTTTCAGAAAGGATTTACTCTTGATGGGAAAGCTCATCTGACGCTTAAATTGCCAAAAGACAAAGTTGACAGTAAGGCTGGCGAAGGGTTAAACATGAGCCTCCAAGTGACCAAAGCGGAGGGAGAAAGTTTCGAAGACACTTTAGTATTAGAGGCGACGAGCGATATTGCCGTAGAAAAGAAGCATACGTATATAACTGGGGTATCGTTAAAACAAATTGAAATCGCTTACGACTTCACGGTTGAGACGATACTAAGAATGCCAAGCCATAGGGCACCCGTAACTATAAAACGGAGACGCGGTGGTGACGTAGTTGCGTCGTTCTATATCAATAATTTAAGAGATGTATTCGAGGAGTATTGTCCACCAGCAGAAATAGTAGAAGAGACATGTAGTGATAGTAAATATAAACAATATGCTGTCAAATTTTACACCTCAGGGATTATTGAAGGCGCACAATTATCAAATCAAAAAATTATCCTTGAATCGAAAAAAATTGACAGTGAAGATCGCTCCACAAACACAATGGATGTTCCACAAATTGTAGTGAGACCGTCTGATTTAGGTGAAATAAGTGCTGCTAGTACGTCCGACCAGTCGGAGAAACAGCCCCTATTACCACCTCCACCACCTCAAAAACCAACTACGAGTACAGAAAAACTACGAGATCCACAATCAGCGTCTGAACGTCGTTCTTCATTTAAACGGTTTAATCAATTTGGGGAAAATTACACAAGCTTAACTTCCGGTTCACCGGAGACAAAGATCATGCAGATTCCTATGATACCAGCAATTGCTAAAACTCCACCAACACCACGTTCAGCCTCACCTACTGTTCCTAGCTCAATTCTCACTGATCCTCATCGGAAAGAACGGGTACTTGCTCCTAGACGTGTTGGTGTTCGTGCTAAGAGCCCACATCGGTTACCCAATCCAGGTTCATTTCAAGGAACAAGTCTCCACCCAACGGCAAGACCCAAATTGTCTAAGATGACAAGTGTTTGATTACGAACATTGTCTGCAATTAAGATTCTATATGATCGAAATTCACTTGAATAGGTGCTAATTGTCTACTACAAGTTAAAATTCAATTCAGTTTAACTTGTGAAATTCACACAGGATAAATATAAAACCAATACGTTGTCCGGTTATCTAAACAAGTAAGATATGAATCAAATAATATACATGAGTATATGAACAATCAACGATAAAACATATCACTGCCATTATTGCCATCGACCATTAGATCATCGTTTTAAAATTTTCTATTACCATAAATATATCTGAATACACTTCGCCAATATTAAATTTGATGGTACAAGAATATGCGAATTATACAGCACAATCATTTTTCTGTATAGTCTATCTGTATTCACAAATAATTTAGAATTTTTTCATTTATATATATTTGCTCTCTCTGATAAATGTTTTAATTATTTATTTTTATTTTTTTCAAATTATGCACTTGGAAAAGTGTTCCAAAATAAACAATATACCATTCTACTTACTATAAAACACTACTTCGATATATGGATATATTACTTCTGCATTTATAACATACTACGTTTCGGAACACATACAGGTAACGTTATCAAGTAAAACGTTACCAGTATGTGTTTCGAAACGTATTATGTAATAAATGCAAAAGTAATATATCCATATATCTTAATGTTTTATTGTAATCTTCCTACTTTTATATGTCTTATAAAAAATACATCCTACTTACTTACTGGGAACAATTGGTGAATGAAGTTAAACACAAGACACCGAAATTATGTTTACAAAAAATGATTTACCATGTTCTAACCATGAACTAACACTTGCGTCTATCTATTTGTTTGTATTTTGTAATAAAGCTATGAAATGAAGTATGTCGGTTATGCAACATATGAGCGAAATTAATGAGCTGCTTAATAGAAACCCCACTGGCTGGGAGATATTAAACTAAATATCATTGTGGGACCCAAAGACTTGACTTCTCTTTCGTTTAGATCCTGATTTTAAGAAATACTACCAGAAGCGCCACGTATATGATTATACTTTCACGTAATATATTATAGTTGTTCATTTATATTTCACCATACATGCATTTAACTACATTGGACTTGCGTTTCGTTTATTGGCAAATTTAATAGCAGATGGTAGTTGGTGATATCGGTGCCTAATGTTTACAATATATCAGAGTTCAAACCTCATTTGACATTACAAAAAAATGAAATTACATTCGATGAATCCCAGTGAAAATGGATATCCAATCAAAGTAAGAAACCAACAGATATAGCAGATTATCAAATTGAATTGATTTGTTCCATTTTCCATGGCGTATGTAGCATTGTTATATCACCTGCTGGGAATCTGGCAATTTTCCAAATAGAATTTCTATTCATTGAAAATTTATAAGGAGTTACATATAAATTTGCTTTTGACATTTTACTATCCGTCGGGAAAAACAACAATAATGGTACAAGCGGTCTAAGATCATCAGAGAGTGAAGGACAGCATGCAGAAAATCTATATTGCATCTTGAATTAGGGTTTGCCCATATTCTTTCTATGAATTTTATTCGAATATCATTCTCGTCGGTAGACCTAATTAAGTAATCGTTCTCGTGTTAACGGTTAGGTATTGTGTCAGGAATTTGTAATTAGAACATCGGAACTCGAACAAAAATGACTGGCTATAAAAATAGATTTGGTCGTGACATGGTCTGTTAAAACAGATACTACAACTTATCGTCAGAATTTTCCATAATAGTGATGAATTACCAAAAGACACAAATGTGTCTCAGAAAAAAAAACATGGTTATATTTCATTAACAAATCTCTTAGAATTTCATGTTGCTTGGCAACACTTTCTATATAAATATACCGAGGAAATATTATGTCTCTAAAGAGTAAGATTTATTTAGTCGTTAATTATATCTTACTCCAGACAAAGAAGGTCGTGAAATTTTAAATTGTCCAATATTTGATAATTCTATAACGCCTCACATCCAATGGAGATAACTTGCCACGCAAGGTGACAAACGGCCACCTATAGCTTTGATAAAATATGGACATACCGTCATTATTAGCATAGACTTTTAAACGATTTATTTGGAAATATATTTAACATAATGAAAATCGCATCAAGATTCAAGAAAATAAAAGACTCATGAAATTAAAAGGTATATCTGTAAGACATGTACGTTCGATTCCTCAGGCACAATGGCAATATATAATTGTGTATGACAGCATAAGTTTCAATTATTGTTGAATAAAAACCAACACATTTCACATCTTTTTTATTCTCATAATGATGATCAATAATATATATTCACCTATAGTTTGAAGCAACTAATTTTATTTTTTTCTCCTTTCATGTTTGAATATTACACACCATCATTTTCAGCTTGTATCTACAAATATATAACAAAACAAAATAATCCCTAATACTTCAGCGACATTTAGGGGTAGAGATCACATTAAATAACGAAACACAATTTTATGGTATACTACTCCTACTATTTTGTGTATCGGGGACACTGATATCGCCAATTTGCACCATTCCAATTATTATCTCATTCCACTAAAGTAAAGTAAGCGTTTTATGACATCACTATCGCAAACACCAGTACCAGTGGCACAGTAATAATACCCTGGTAGTACCAGTGGCACAATAACAATAACCTGGTAGTACCAGTGGTACAGTAACAATACCCTGGTAGTACCAGTAGCCCAGTTATAATACCCTGGTTGTATCAGTGGCACAGTAACAATACCCTGGTAGTACCAGTAGCCCAGTTACAATACCCCGGTAGTACCAGTAGCCCAGTTACAATACCCCGGTAGTACCAGTGGCACAATAACAATAACCTGGTAGTACCAGTGGTACAGTAACAATACCCTGGTAGTACCAGTAGCCCAGTTATAATACCCTGGTTGTATCAGTGGCACAGTAACAATACCCTGGTAGTACCAGTGGCCCAGTAACAATACCCTGGTAGTACCTGTGGCACAGTAATAATACCCTGGTAGTACCAGTGGCACAATATCAATAACCTGGTAGTACCAGTAGCCCAGTAACAATACCCTGGTAGTATCAGTGGCACAATAGCAACACCCTGGTAGTACCAGCAGCCCAGTAACAATACCCCGGTGGTACCCGTGGCACAGTACCAATACCCTGGTAGTATCAGTGGCACAGTAACAACACCCTGGTAGTATCAGTGGCACAGTAACAACACACTGGTAGTACCAGTAGCCCAGTAACAATACCCTGGTAGTATCAGTGGCACAATAGCAACACCCTGGTAGTACCAGTAGCCCAGTAACAATACCCCGGTAGTACCAGTGGCACAGTACCAATACCCTGGTAGTACCAGTAGCCCAGTAACAATACCCTGGTAGTATCAGTGGCACAGTAACAATACCCTGGTAGTATCAGTGGCACAGTAAAAATACCCTGGTAGTACCAGTAGCCCAGTAACAATACCCTGGTAGTACCAGTGGCACAGTAATAATACACTGGTAGTACCAGTGGCACAATAACAACACCCTGGTAGTACCAGTAGCCCAGTAACAATACCCGGGTAGTATCATTGGCTCAGTAACAATACCCTGGTAGTACCAGTAGCTCAGTAACAATACCCTGGTAGTACCAGTAGCTCAGTAACAATACCCTGGTAGTACCAGTAGCCCAGTAACAATACCCTGGTAGTACCAGTAGCCCAGTTACAATACCCCGGTAGTACCAGTGGCGCAGTAACAATACCCTGGTAGTACCAGTAGCCCAGTAACAATACCCTGGTAGTATCAGTGGCACAGTAACAACACCCTGGTAGTATCAGTGGCACAGTAACAATACCCTGGTAGTACCAGTGGCACAGTAACAATACCCTGGTAGTACCAGTAGCCCAGTAACAATACCCGGGTAGTATCAGTGGCACAGTATCAATACCCTGGTAGTAACGGTAGCCCAGTAACAATACCCGGGTAGTATCATTGGCTCAGTAACAATACCCTGGTAGTACCAGTGACCTGGCCCAGCACCAATATCCTTTTAGTACCAGTGGGACAGTAACAATACCCTCCCTAGTACAACTAGTGGCACAGTTACAATACCCTGGTAGTACCAGTGGCACAATAACAATACCCTCCCTAGTACAACTAGTGGCACAGTTACAATACCCTGGTAGTACCAGTGGCACAATAACAATACCCTGGTAGTGCAAGTGGCACAGTAACATACGCTGGCAGTATCAATGGCCTGGCCCAGTAACAATACCCTAGTAGTACCAATGGCCCAGTAACACTAACTAATATCCGAAAAGTATGCTTGAATGCGACTTGCATATTATCTGTCTTCATGAGCACACATGTGCTTCATGACAGAAAACACTACAATATTAAGATAAATTAACAAAAATTACCTAAAAAAAGCTTGAATCAACAAATTTTCAATTCTACATCCAAAGACATTGTTTTGTTATGTTGCTGACATGAGTAGAAGTGAAGAAGAAGTGAACCCAGCGAAATCTACAATCACAATGAACATACAAAACACGTGTTGAGAGCTCGCAGCTTATATATACTGACCCAGAAGCTGTGAATATCAGCCTTTATTTAAGTTTTAGAAAATCTTAAATATCAATGAACAAAATTCATCATTAACAACATTCAGGTATTCCCAGAGGCCCAAAAACAAAACTGTGATGTAACTAGTGGTCCAGTAGCAACACTTTGATATAACGAGTAACAATACTCTTGCACTACCAGTGGTCAAGGAACAATAGCCTACACTGGTATAATCAGTGCCACAGTAACAATAACCTGATGTAACTATTGGCACAGTAACAGTACTCTTGAACTACAACAGTGACTCAGTAGTAATCACCTGGTATAACCATTGCTCTGACAGTAACATTAACCCGATGTCTTTGACACAATAACAATACCCTGGTAGTACCAGTGGCCCAGTAACAATACCTTGGTATTATCAGCGGCCCAGTAAAAATACCTTGATATAACTATTAACTATTAACTTGATATCTCAACCGGCTCATCTCGACCTTATGCCGGGATTGAACTCAGGACCTTCAGGTTAGACAATGGGCGTCTAACTCACTGAGCCACCGCGGCTCTCTGGTATTCATCGTGACACAGTAACATTATCCTGATATAACCTAATGCCCAGCAAGATTAACCTGGTGCTAACAGTTATACAGTATTTATGCAAATAGTCGGGTACCACAATTAACCTAGTTACATTGGATGGCACAGTAACAATATTCACTACCCAGTAATATTATAAATGAACTATCCAAGTTCACAACTACGCTGCGGATGCCACTATTGGAACTTCTCATTGGATATGTTGTATACATCTATTTCACACACTCACAACAAATCTTGGAATTCAACAAGACATCTTACTGTTTGCCGTTTTATTTTCCAGAGTTGATGATTCAAAGCTCCTATGGGCATTGCTTTATTGAATTACATAAATGGTATATGTTGAAGGTCATCTGTTAAATGTTCATATACATTATGTTTCATCTATATTAGTCTGGAATGAAGAGAAGTAATAATAACCAGAATCTGTCTAGAAACTTGATTAGAACTACTTAAATATTGTAACACCTAAACACCTGCCATTCAATTTTCTCTGAACTGATGTCGTTTGAACTAAAAACTGAACTGTGACTAATATTGTTATGTTATAGGATACCCGGTATTTTTATATGCTATTTCCTTTATTCTTTATCTTGCATGCTATTTACTTATTTTATTTTAAAAGAACGGTGTTCAAAGTAAGCAGTGCAGGCATGCAGATAATGACCAGGCTGAACTTTCTACACATTCAACTAGCATACAGATGCGGGTCGAATCGTCTCAGCATACACGTTCACGGCAAATCGACCGGATATGAAATCTGAATTATTTCTAACTTGAATATTGTTAAATTAAAATAACTTAAAAATTTTCATGACAAATACACATAAGAATTCTTTCAATTTTGCAAACACCTATATGTCTAACTCTCTTAGTCTTTGTAGTGTGGCCCATATAAGACATAATTTTTTTTTTTATGGAAGCTGAAACTTACCAAGTTCAACATTTGATATTTCGAATGAGGACTAGTGTGAGATAGTATGGCATGAATTTCAAAAAGTTTTTATGACGGCTAAACCTCGCAAATTGTCCGAAAACTTTGGGTATTATTCTACATAGGCCATATATAAATCGATTTGTGTATGTCTTTAATGGGCCTCCGTACAAAAAGTGAGGGTGACAGCAACTTAGTGATTTGATATTTCGACTAGTATGAGATAGTATAGTATGGATTTCAAAATGTTCCTATGATGGCTAAGACTCGCAAATTGTCTGTAAACTCTGGGTAATATTCTCATATAGGTTATATATATGTCGATTGGTGTATGTCTTTAATGGTCTTCCGTACAAAAAATAAGGGAGACAGCAACTTGGCGCTTCGATATTTCGAATGAGGACTAGCGTGAGATAGTATGATATGAACTGCAATAAGTTCCTATGATGGCTAAGACTCGTAAATTGTCAGTAAACTCTGAGTATTATTCTACATAGGCCATACATAAATCGATTTGTGTATGTCTTTAATGGGCCTCCGTACAAAAAGTATGGGAGACAGCAACTTGGTGATTTGATATTTAGAATGAGGACTAGTGTTAAATAGTATGGTGAGAAAAAAGACTTTGCATTTATTTACAACGTTTGTGGCAAACCTGTCATCATAGGCAATTCTTTGAATAAAAATATTGTCATCTATTGCAATTGTTTTTACCACAAAATCAGCATATTGAGTATGTGTAGCATGTATCTGGATTTGTACTTGAGCATAATACTGATGATTCTTGTCGAGACTGACATGTCCATTATTTGAATATTTCAAATAAGACTGATCTGAGGCTGCAATTTGTTTAATAGTGTCATTTTTAAATTTTTCTGGATTTTTAACCTCCAAACAACCCAATCCACAACAATCACAATTAATCATACTGTCTGGTGTGGCTGCTAACCCCAAGGATTTTCCATGCAAATATGAAACCCTGTGCTTTGAACCTTTAAATTTTGGTGTTTATTCTTAATATTTTTTTCATATTCTGTAATTGCTGGTAATTCCCTTTCTCTGCCCCACTTTCATTTATTTTTCTGTAACACTCATGTGCTACTGATGCAGTGATGCCTATTTCAGTCAAAATCTGATAATGTTTTTTCCTTGCGGTAGCAGAATGCTCTGGGTTCAAATGTCAATCGAGACTTTTTTCCACAAGTTTGAAAATCTTCTTGAGTAGAATCAAATCTACCTGTAACCTTTTTCACAACAAGATTTCTTACAAAGTCAGCTTGTTAAACCCTTTTACCTTGAATATGTGGTTTGCTTGGGATGGTACATGCTTTGTTGCATCCCGGCTCTATTTGCCTAACAATAAAGTGCAACAAGGCCATGCAATGTTTCCAATACCCTCGTAGACCTGCTGGACAATTGCAGTAAGCTCTTTCCACTTTTCCCCGTTCTCTTCAACTCCAGTAACATGTCCAGATAAGTATTAACTTTCTCCTTCTTTTGTTGATTTTGATCCTTTCGTCGGGACATTATGGATCTCAGCACCTATAAAATTAATTCAGTTTATACATAAACATATATAATACATCTTAGAGTAGTTTATTGAGGAAACAAATCACAAACTTGCATGAGTGTAAACTAGACACACCTGCTTTGTTCTTTATTTATATGTTTGCACACAAGACAAGCCAAGAGGCGGGACCTATTTATGCGAGGTGAACCAATCTACCGAAGTGATTGATTGCTTAATACCCCAGTCCCCAATCATGTTAATCAGGTAAGCAAAACACTGTCAATTACTGTAGGCATTTTGTAACTCACATGAGTACTCTTTGGAGCAACACACGTTTTGTTAATTGCCAGTTCATACATTTTGTTTTAACTTAAACATAAATAATTGTGAAGTCTATTCTACTTGACTAGAATGAACAGAATCATGATACAAACATAATAATCAAATAATAATACTGGATACAAGTCAGAAGGAACAGTAGTGGAACCATTTTACCTTAAAATAATAATAAAATCTATCTGTTTAAGGTTGTGAAATTAGGCTCAGTCTCCAGAGTCTGATATCAGTAGGCCTACTACAGTAATAAATACTTACACAGTTTTATATAATCTTCTACATCTGAGACTGATGTATTCGGAAAATTTATTGTCAGTATTCATCTGGGCTCAGCCCGGTTCGAGCCTGGCCTGGCAAAAAGTTCCGACAACAACAAGTTTTTTTCCCACAATCTTATGATAATGTCAACACAACGCGGTTCAATGTGGTCCAGAGAAGAAACCGAGGAGTTAATTGCTGTTTGGGGCAAGCTCAATTAGAAGGTGCAAGACACAATCACAAAATCTTTAAACAGATAAATTCTACTTTGCAAGAAAAGCATTTGGACTATGGGCGGCGCCATTTTGTTACAATGAATGTACCTCCAGTGACTGGAGAGTTCGTTCTCCAACGGGCTCGGCCCACTTCGACGCCTCAAGTGTAAACGGCATGTATCAAGTGGGTCGAGCCTGGCACATGCGAAAGGGGTCCGGCCCGGTAGTAATTTAAATGGGGCTATATAGACAAGTGTGACCCTTGTGTCAGTGTTGTCTGTACCAATAAGAAAAGAAAGTTGTATCAACCATGGTTAATAAAGCAAAAACTGCTGTGTAGACAGGGCTGTATTAATACAGCTTCCAGGAGTAGTATATTTCACATGTTCTATTCTGTACAGCAAGCTGTATCCAACATTTATATCTGACGAATGGGAGTACAAGTTTAAATCTTAAAAGGTTATTCTCAATTTTGGCGAGAATTTATGTAAACAAATTGGGAGTGATTCATGCAAGTTTATATACTTTGTAAACTGACAAGGAATATATTAGAAATATATTACAAGTTGTATACAACCTGTTTTACTGTGTAGATGGGCCTTAGACGTCTGTGGCTCTAACTCTCCTTAGAATGTGATCTAGTGCTCAATTATATTTCACTGCTTGGCAATCATGCCACATTAAGGCATGTATCATAACACAAGGGCAACAGTATGCTATCGCAAAACTATGTAATAGACAAATTGTAACATTTTATCTTCAAAGGTTTAACATTCAAAAAGATGTCTGTTGTTCCTGCAATTCCACTAAAACTGTGTTTGATGACTACTATGTATAATTTTGAAAAATGAAGTACGGTACATATTTGGCCTGATTAGCATGCTTGGAATTCATTACAAAATAGTTTGAGGTTGTTTCCTGGTCATTTTTTTCAGCTTGGCTAGTTTCCTTGTCGTTTCATGTTTTCTTTGGTCGTTTGGTCAACTCAAGTTTTAGAAAGTAAGAAAGTTCTATACAGAATCATAGCATACAGATAATTTGTCTGTTTCCATTTAAGGCAAGATTTTATCAATTTACAACTTTACAAGCTTTGCAATAGCAACAACTCCCCACCTCTAAACACTCGAAATTTGTAAATGATACTGCTAAATAGATGAATATTTCAATCCTTTTGCCAAAATAACTTATCACCACTGCTCTCTCTGTCTATAGCTTTTAAATAACTAGTAGAAATGATAGAGTAACCACCTTGACTAAATTGGGCATAAAATTATTACAAAAATATACCACAAAACAGTCAAATTGGTCGTGAATGTATCCAACCTGCATAGAATAGGACTCTGCTTACAATCTAAAATCTTTTAACCAGTTGAACCACGCCTTTTGAAATTAATGCAGTTTAAAAGAACTGGTGAAGATCATCCAAAAACATAAACCATATTGAAAGAGGATAATCAGAACCTTCCCAAAACACAGTTTGAACTCAGCCTGTGATTTTACTACTTTAAAAACTGCTGACAACGTTGTAAATAAAGCATGAACCACAATGACGAAATTGGGCAGGAAGTATAAATAACCTGCCACAAAATAGTCAAAGCGGTCTTTGCTCCACGATCTCTCATCCATTGGACCATTACACTGATTGTCTGGTACCTATAGAAACCGTGCAAAGACCATATTGGGACAAACATTTGTATCAAATTGTGGCCAATCAAAAAAGATAAGTGAACGTGTTGAAAAATACCTAGTAGGCTACTTGAAATAGCAAAAAGCTCAATTAGACCATCAATTTCAGATACAAATGTCATCACAATATCAATCCTGAAAGAAAATGAAACTGATAAAAGTAGTTAAAAGAAAATTAGAGATAGTGGCCTGATAAACACAGATGAAATAAACTTACAACCATACACAGGACCTAAATTTCTTTACTTTGTTTACAATTTACAAAAAGGCATTACTTTGTTTCTCCTATAAAGTACAAAAAAATGTAATTATAATGAGTCATTTCTAAAGATATACATGGTACTCCATAAAATGCCAGACAATGTGACATACTTCAAGCAAGAGTGGCCATGTCGGTCTATTTCAAATTATGTCCAACAAACATGGTACCCCATGGTACATGGTGTAGCTGTGCAACAAATGTGCCTATGATTAGCAAGATATGGCATTTCTACAGATGCAGCATATATATCCTACAGATGTTGTCCCGAATTCAGCAACCGTGTCATGTTTTCATCAAATTTGAACCCTCTCACGGTATAGACAAAATGAATAATGTCAGATATATTCCATTTCTAATATTTGCCGTAGGACACATGACACCACCTTCGAGGATCATGCAGCAAAGTGGTCCCCTCACCTACTGCATGATCACTTCCAGAGTGCCACACTGACCGACCATCCAATTTAGCAAATGGCAATCCCAATTTATCCCTACTGTGAAAGGGAGATTTCCTGAAATTAACACTTATGTGAAAAATTCAACAACTGTGGTTTATGCAAAACAAAAGTGACCATCCATCAAAAGCCAATCAGGCATGGCTGTGTTGAAAAATGTGTCATACTCCCAGAGAGAGTTGTCCAAAAATATGGTACCCCATCGAATGTAGCTGTGCAACAAATGTGCCTATGATTAGCAAGATATGGCATTTCTACAGATGCAGCATATATATCCTACAGATGTTGTCCCGAATTCAGCAACCGTGTCATGTTTTCATCAAATTTGAACCCTCTCAAGGTATAGACAAAATGAATAATGTCAGATATATTCCATTTCTAATATTTGCCGTAGGACACATGACACCACCTTCGAGGATCATGCAGCAAAGTGGTCCCCTCACCTACTGCATGATCACTTCCAGAGTGCCACACTGACCGACCATCCAATTTAGCAAATGGCAATACCCAATTTATCCCTACTGTGAAAGGGAGATTTCCTGAAATTAACACTTATGTGAAAGATAGCTTGCCAGGCAAGGTAATATATGCCCACTGGCAGCTTTGATTTTGAATAAAAATATCTAGCAGTACAGTAACAATCACCAGTATGAAATATTAAATCTTAAGTCATACACTTCTTTTGAACTCTTTAGGGCGATACTGAATAATATTGATCAATTTTTAGCTCGTGAAAACTCTAGAAGGCAAATATTCAATCTTCAGCGCGGGACTGAATAATGAAACCAAGATTCGTCAAAATACAGTAAGGATCATGCCTCTTAGTGTTTAAGAGCTAAATTTGAACGTGTTTTCAAGAGCAAGGGCAATAACTCATACTAAATATTTTTCAATTCTTCTGATTTTTAATAGGGTTCATCCTTGGGTGATAACGAACATTCACATCAAGTTTCATCAAAATCTCTCAACAATTGTGCCTTCTAGTGTGATTACGAGCCGAAAATTGAACGCGTTTTCAAGAACAAGAGCAATAACTTACTAATAAATACTAAATATTTTTCGATTCTTCTGATTTTAAATAGGGTTCATCCTTGGGTGATTATGAACACTCATGCCAAGTTTTGTTAAAATCCATCAAGAATTGTTTCTTCTAGAGTGTTTACGAGCTAAAAATTGAACGCGTTTTTAAGCACAAGGGCAATAACTTATACTAAATATTTTTCGATTCTTCTGATTTTCAATAGGGTTCATCCTTGGGTGATTACGAACAATCATACCAAGTTTTGTCAAAATCCGTCAAGAATTGTGTCTTGTAGAGTATTTATGAGCAATTGTGGACGGACGGACCGATGGACGGACGGACATGGGTGAAATCAATAAAGCCAATCAAGCATGGCTGTGTCGAAAAATGTGTCATACTCTCAGAAAGAGTGGCCCTGTCCTTCTATTTCCACTTATGTACAACAAACATGGTACCCTATTGAATGTAGCTGTGCGACAAATGTGCCTATGATTAGCAAAATATGGCATTTCTACAGATGCAGCATATGGGGTGGCTCTCTGTGACAAATTTGGATATGATCTTCAAAAGCGGCATTCCTACAGATGTGGTTTATACCCAGCAAAAGGTTCAACATCCAACAGATGCAATTCAGTATGACAAATGTGCTAGACAGCAAGCCAGCAAACATTGCTTTTGACAACAACAATCTTGGCTTGTGTGTCAAAATATGGATATTTCTGGCAAGATATGTCCAAATTTTCATTATATCAAGGGTGATTGCCAATCTGTGTCAAATCCTTCCAAAATCTAACTTGTCATGGATATTGTTGATTTAAACGAACAGATAAAATTCTGACATAAACTGTTACCTCTATCTTGTTTACAAGCCAACAAATTTTGATACATTTTTACCAAGTCGACGGCAATAACTCAAAAACAATCATCGAAATATCATCAAATTCCAACTTGTCCAAGATCTCATCAATATACCTGATCACACCAAATTTCATTCAAATCATACAAAAACTGTAGTCTATATTACGTTCACAAACGAATTTGATGCATTTTTCCTAAGTCAAGTTTAATAACACAAAAACCAATCATCTAAAGATCGTCCTATTTCAACTTGTCCAAGATCTTATCAATATACATGATCACATTTCATTCAAATCAGATTAAAACCGTAGTCTCTATTGTGTTCACAAACAAATTTTGACAAGTGTTTCCTAGGTCAAAACGGTTCATTGAAAAATCGTCAAATTCTAACTTAACCGAAACCTCATCAATATAAATGATCACACCAAATCTCCTGCTACATTACCTGCTACATGGGATGATGCACGAGAATAACATATAACTTACATAACTTTTAAAGCTCTGCCGGTGTTTTCTGGTTGCTCTAACTAGGCCATGAATTGATCTACCTACAATAATAAGTGAAAATGAGTGATTTTGAGGCAATATCATACATACAAATGACTCTTGAGACTCAAGAAGAGTCAGACAAGAGTAGTGAAATTTTAAATATTTTAAGATTAAGTTGTCTAAATATTTGTTAAACCAGCTGATAGAGATCAATGTCAACTATTCCTATCACTATTCAGAATAAAGAGCTCAGCTCTACAAAATTAGTGTTTACAAGTAAAAATATTGGTGTTACTGTCAGTGAGTCTGTTCCAAATGGAATATTTTACAAAAATATCAGCTTAATTAAGAGAAACTCACCAATTATCAAGATATTGAAACACATGTTGTATTTCAATATAAAACTGACAACATTCAATATCTGAAATAGAAAATGAATGTAAAATTTACTAAATTAAAAAAGAAAATAAAGGGATATTTCGCTAACAAACAATTATAGAACTGCATCCCTTTCAGTATGTATATAGATATAATTAGAAATGGGGTTTTAAGTCGTGCTTTTCTGTACCTGATTAGATTAACGAAGACAGTATGCAGTGTACAATGTGGGCATTTTTTTTTTACGATTGAAGCATTAGCTTTCTCATTGTTAATTTCCTCAATAAGCAAGCACAAGGGACATTCCTTAAGGTGGCACCAATATAGAAAGGGTCAATTATCAATCTTGGAGGGCAAGGTAGTTTGTTGACTGATAAAGAAGACTCACCATTTAACAGCTCGCTGGAACATAACTTGATATCTATAGACCAACAAGTTTCTAACTGATGATAAGATTTCATACCTGTAATAAATCATTTATTCAAATTAAATAGCAAAAACAGAGATGTTTCCTATCATTTTATGCAAGTGACTCCACTTAGCATACATGATCTGACAAATTTGTTATTCATGTCCTGTTCTGGGCCATTTAGTATTCAACCCACTAATACACAGTAGGTATTGTATGTATCAAATATTGTGTACCATCTAAGATTTCCTTGCTATATGTCAGGAATTGCAGGGTATCTATTGTTTTAAATGGACTAGTAGATGAAGTGTCTTACCATTTTTAAAAGTACTTTGGATTGGTTATCATAAAGTATGACAACTCTGTATGGTCATTCATTCTAAACACAATCACCAAATATAGATGAAGTTTGTTAAATCAGGGTTAGTGGATTCACCTGCAAAAAAACAACTTAACATTAACATCTGCATTTGAATCATGTCAAAAGTTTTTTTTTCACTTGCACCAGACTCTGAAATATAACAATATAGAGACTACATCCCTTCAGTAACAGAAAGTTTCCTCACAAAAAATCACAAGATTCCCCCTTGCTTAAACCTAGGCCTAACAGTTGGAATACCTGATAAATAAATCAAGTAGTTTTCAGAAAAACCAGAAAGTTAATTATAAAAAAACTCACCATAAATAAAAAAAAAGATCGATTTGTCAAAAGCGATTTAAAACTTTTCATACTAGTAACTTCTCTGAACTGCTGTCACTGTAAAAGAATAATAATTTTTAGAATACAAACAACATTGTGTTGTGAATTGTTTCAAAAAGTAAAATTTTACTCTAAGTATTAAAGGGCTGTCACACTTTTCTCATAAACCACAAGACAAAAGCTTGCATAGATATGACCTAATAACCATCCCCATCTCCTAATTCGAAACCTGTCTACCCTCATCCCTATCTTAATGTCACTAAACTAACAACCAAAGGACACCATCCCTTTAATACCCCCACCCCTAATTCTAAACCTGTCTACCCTCATCTCTACCTTAATTTCTTATTAACTAACAATTATAGGACACCATACGTTAATACCCCTAATTGTAAACCTGTCTATCCTCACCACTACCTTAATACCATATTCTAAAACAACAAATACAGGCCACCCTGTCTTTAATACCTCCACCTCCTAATCCTTAACCAGACTACCCTCATCTCTGAAGGGTACAAATTACTTTTTTTTTTATTTGCTTAAGTCTTTTGCTCTATGGGCCTAAATTGCACAGCAGTTTAAAATTTTGTATAGAACTTTTTAACGTATGAAGTACGGTATGTAAAGGTTCTGAAGTGCATCATTAAACTAAATGATTCTTGAATTGTAATTTAAATACCAGAGCAAAAACATAAATACAAACAGAATTTGGCCATAATGATACTCCTGATATCTTCCAGGTTATTTCTGAAGTCATGAAATAACTTATATTTGTCATATTTATTCTCGTGATATCGAGTCTAAATTTTCAAGGTCACGCGCGTAAGAATCTGGATCGAGAAGTCCAAACTAACCGATAATATTTAAACCTCGAGTATTATACCCCAATCAAGTACCAAGAGTACACTTAAGCTCTCACCTGAAAAATTTCCCTCCATTGAACAATGCATGGCGTTCACGATTATCATTTTTCATAAATAATTTAAAGAGGTTGTTAAGTGATTTATATGTGTATCGGGCACATTAATAGCATCCAATCAAAGGGACTTACGTAACATAATACTGATATGTAATATATAGGGTCTTCGCTATGGTGACGTCATCAAAAACAGAGTTTTAGTGGGATTGCAGGAGTCATATAGGCTATACGTCTGAATGAAAATTGGAATGTTGCAATTTGATGCTATCAGTGTCCCTCCCTTATACACATAAAAGATTTAGAAAAACTCTTAACAATCTCTTTAACAAAACGTTTGATAGAACTAAATGAAATGAGCTATTCAAGGTATGCATGCTTCAGGTTAACTTCGTTTTTTTTGGGGGCAATTCCACTGAAGTAAAACTGTGCGTTTGATAACGCCAACTTCACAAAGAATTTAGATATTATTAGCAGATTCGGCAATAGTCTAGTTTTAGTGGAATCGGAAAAAATATAACAGAGATCTGACTGAAAATTGGAATGGTACAAATCGATGCTATCGGTGTCCCTATTTCTTGAAAACCAGTTTATATTCCTTACAAGTTCCCAATCAAAATTTGAATGAAGAAAATGGCTTACCTTCTTGTGAATAATTGTCCAATATTTGTCACTCCTTCCAAAAGTGTCATCGTTGAATCCATTATTTTATAGAAAAATCACAAAATAATCCAAAACCATCCAGAATAATACAGATAGTATCCACGAATATTAGTCAAAGATTTAGCACTGAATATATGGAAATAATTCAAAACCATCCAGAATCCAATACAGAATTTATCATAAGTCATAAGTCACGACTGATAAGACCGAAGTCCCGCTAAGAGATGCGCACCTTTGGATATGCAAACGATGATTTTACGTTAAACTCCTCCCACATTTTGACTGACAATTTGAATTTCAGCCAATCAGCAGCCACAATTCTGCATCCACGTGCTCTACGTGTCAACTCTTCCCGCCAAAAAATTGTTTTGAGTTTCTGTTGGTTTTAAACTGTCACTTTCTCGTCAATTTGGTGAAAGCTGATAAATTATTAAAGGAAAAGATCCACCAATATTTCAGAGTGGCTGGTTGAAAGAATTTTGAACAGTGGCACTGAACTTAAAAATCCTTTGTAAAGTCTAAAACCTGTTCAAAAATCTTTGGATCAACGAATAAAGTATATTTCGTTAAGTTACAGAGGGAAAAAATTGCCAAATTTACATGTCTGTGAAGTAAATTACACGGAAAGGGGTCTTTAATTCAAGATAGAACAAATAATATGATTGCTAGATTCGCGCCAAATATTACCCCGAAATTTAAAGGGATATAGCGTTACTGTTACAATAAAATTCACCATTATTCAAGTTTTAGGCCTAAATCAGGCTACCCTCAAAGAAGATAATTAGAAAATTTACTGAAAAGCTTTGACTTTGTGACTACATAAATGTGGCAATAAATTCTGGGACGAAAAAGTGCAAAAGATACAAAATAAATATGATTGCAATAGAAAAGATTAAACCACAGTAAATTTAAAGATAGTGGATCAAATATGGCCATATTAGGTATACGGTTGGTGAAACGAGATCCTCATAGTTAGATCATTTAGGCCTGCCTACATACAAAATCGTACGAAAATTGAAAATTGCGAAAAGTGAAAGAGCTATACCAATTTCAACATAGGCGTACGGGCCCATGACCTATTTGGGGGTTGGAAGGGGGGGGGGGGTGTAGTTTGCACGGAATTTTACTCTACGGACGAGACGAGTGGTACAACACATTTATAATATATGTTTATTAGTGTAAAGTTATGTTAGTGGAATGGTACATGATAACACTGCAAAATCAGTTGATGTGATTTATATATTAGTGGTTACTGACAAATAACCCATCATGCCCATGGAATTGAGAGCAATATTAGAAGTTATATAGATTTCCCCCTGTCATCAATTTCCCCCTATTGATGGTGATAATAAACTAGTTAATTAAATCATATCATTTGATTATCAAAATTAGTAAAATGACCATACACGAAATACAAAATTGTTTCGAATTATTCATTCGTCGTCATTCCCAAATTTGTGCACGGCCTTTGCCAGAATTGAGTTTCGTTTTATGCCTTTCTGACCCAATTCGGACATAGTATAAATTTCAATAGGTTTCTATGACGGCTAAGCCTCGCAAATTGTCCGTAAACTCTGAGAAATATTCTGATATAGGTCATTTATATGTCGTTATATAGTGTATGTCTTTAATGGGCCTCCGTACAAAAAGTAAGGGAGACAGCAACTTTGTGATTCGATATTTCGAATGAGGACTAGTGTGAGATAGAATGGTATGAATTGCAATAAGTTCCTATGTCGGCTAAGACTCGCAAATTGCCCATAAACTCTGAGTATTATTCTTCATAGGCCATATATGTCGATTGGTGCATGTCTTTAATGTGCCTCCGTACAAAAAGCAAGGGAGACAACAACTTGGTGATTTGATATTTCGAATAAGGTGAGATAGTATGGTATGAATTTCAAAAGGTTTCTATGTCGACTAAGCCTCGCAAATTGACTGTAAACTTTGAGTAATATTCTCATATAGGTTAGTTATATGTCGATTGGTGTATGTCTTTAATGGGCCTCCGTACAAAAATTAGGGGAGACAGCAACTTGGTGATTTGATATTTCGAATGAGGACTAGTGTGAGATAGTGTGGTATGAATTTCAGAAAGTTTCTTTGACGGCTAAGCCTCGCAAATTGCCCGTAAACTCTGAGTAATATACTCATATAGGCCATATATATGTCGATTAGTGTATGTCTTCAATAGGCCTCCGTACAAAAAGTAAGGGAGACAGCAATTTGGTGATTTGATATTTCGAAAAATGACAAGTTAGTGTGAGATAGTATGGTATGAATTTCAAAAAGTTCCTATGACGGCTAAGCCTTTTAATTTGCTGTTTAACTTTGGTAATTTTCAGTACAAAGACTAAGAGAGTTAGACATATATCGGTGTTTGCGAAATTGAAAGAATTATGTGTATTTGTCATAAAATTTTAACAACATTTAAGTTAGAAATAATTCAGATTCAGATTTCATATCGGGTTCGACCAGAATCTGTACTATGCTAGTGGAATGTTTTTGATAAGTTCAGCCCGGTCAGATAATGATACATGCATATGATCTTCTTGCACACGACCATCAACAGAAAAGAAGGGGCAGTCGATAGAGTTATATAGTCAAACCTAACCATTATTACAACAAAAAATTGTGTGGATAGCCATTATAAAAGCCGCCTAATAAACGTACGAAAATACAGTGCACATAGCAATATCACCGGAAGCTGATGAACTAACATGGCGTCAACAATTGCTGTAGAATTACCCCGCAGTGGATTTTCTTTTGAAAACTGTAAAAGGTAAGGATACATTTCATTGGCATTAACCAATACTGTTTGAGAAACATATAATTTCAATGCGTGACCATTATGTATTAATTACAAAGTTAATTTCTGCTCTTAAACGCCATGTGATTGGACGATTTTCATATGACTCGACGTTTTTGATCATGTTTCAGGAATTTGATATTGGAAAATCAAGGCTTCACAGCTCCAAAGGCTTATAAGACTGGTACAACCATCGCTGGTGTAATATTTAAGGTTAGTTTTTTATTTTGTTTTTTAGCTGTGGCATGAGCATATTTATCATCCACACACATATCTTTTTGTTTTTTACGGTAAGGAACTGTTCCAAACTGTAACAATAACCCAAACAAGGACCCTAAAGTAAAAACGGTGCAGCTCTAAAGGTAGTCTGTATGTATCCATGTGCAGAGTGGGGATGAAATGCTCTCCCGACATTGCATTTGGACTAGATTTGAAGTGATTGAACTTTATAGTCAAATAATACTGTGTATTTGACTATTATTCATCTTGATCTAAAGATGTCAGAACATCTTACTGTCAGAACATCGTACTGAAGGAAACAAAATCAAAAGGCTATTGAAATTTTGTGTGAGTAGTCCAAATATTGGAATGATCTCTTAGTGTGGATGTCTTGCATTTGTCTGGTTGTCAGCATAAGGAAAGGATTTCAATGTAAATCGTGTCAGTTGTGTTTTTCATTTACCTTGATTCTTGATGATATTTTATTATTCGTTCAGGATGGAGTTATATTGGGTGCAGATACAAGGGCTACAGAAGACACAGTTGTAGCAGATAAAAATTGTGAAAAGATTCACTACATTTCTTCAAACATTTAGTAAGCTTCATTTAATACATTAACTGTGTTCAAATTGCAGTATTGTTTTAAGAAAAAGTAGCTCTTTGTCAAATATAAAAAAATGTTGTTAAATTTTCTCTTTGCTGTTTACAATATATTGTGAATCTTTTAAAGTTGATTCAAGAGTTAAAAAAACATTTAAGAAATTTCACATACTATGTACCAACTACAAGGTATCTGTCATGTGTCATTATACATTGTTTTTTTTTCCTGATTATTTACACTGTTTTTATTTTTGATAGCTGTTGTGGTGCAGGTACAGCAGCTGATACGGAAATGACTACGCAGATGATATCTAGTAAATTAGAACTACATCGATTGGAAACTGGTAGAAAACCAAGAGTTTGTACAGCTAATAGACTATTAAAACAAATGTTATACAGGTTAGATCTCTTGACATGTAGAATGAATATGCCATTATGAATCCCTTTCATTTTTGTGCATTTTGGAGTTTGTTCTTAAAAATTTTGAATAATACATGTTGAGAACACCAGTGGGTGAATTGAAAAATCCTATTGGACAATATTTTAACAATGGAGTTTAATACATGTATATATATTATTTTTGTCTTTGTTATTCAGATATCATGGTTATATTAGCGCTGCTTTAGTACTAGGTGGTGTAGACTCGACTGGGCCACATTTATATAGTGTTTGGCCTCATGGTTCTACAGATAAATTGCCTTATGTTACTATGGGTATGTTTTTAGCATTTAGGTTTATTGAAATTAATTTGAATTTATTGTGACCATGCCATTTCATATTTCACTGTTATTTTTGCACACTTTTGATGTTGCCTTCTGAAATTTTAACTTCTATTTTTATCATTTCTTATTGTCACCCCGAATAGAATACATTATCATTACCTGTAATATTTTTAGGTTCTGGATCTTTAGCTGCAATGGCTGTATTTGAAGATAGATTTAAACCTGACATGGAAGTAAGTTCAATTATTTAAGTTTGCACTCCAGTATAATATGAATATCTAAAATAATGTATTTATTAGGGATATTAATGTATACAATAATTTCAATGTGAATTGAAACGTTGCTAAACTAAAGGAAAAAGAATATTCATAATAGTGCTTATTTTCTAATATTTCGTCTACTTCTAAATGTCATTTAAGGAATAGAAAATATACAATTTTCATATTTCGAACTATTAAAACAGAACGTAGAAAACGTGTTGTTGTTACTCAGAGTCATACTTAAATAGATAGGATTTCAGAACCATTATTAAAGATTAAAATGAAATGATTATCTCACTTCTCAGGTTCAACCAAGCAATATGTGTCTTATATTTTTAGCAAGAAGATGCTATGAAATTAGTACAAGAAGCTATAAGAGCTGGTATATTTAATGATCTAGGATCAGGTAGTAATGTAGATCTATGTATTATTACAAAAGATAAAACTGACTACAGACGAACATATCAAGAAGCCAATCTAAAGGGTGTAAGGTAAAGTGATACATTTTTTCTCATAAATTCCATTGATGGTTATTTAATCTAATGACTCTAACATGTATGAATTCATTATCATTTTGATTTAATCATCCTCCCCTACCATAAAGAGAGATAAATCTTCTGCAGCCCAATACACATTTACTAAAGTATACAAAACAGTTAATTTCAGTTAACTATGTAGACTTTCTGAAATAAATGCCAAGGAAGTTTTGAGTTGCTATTTGTTTGTTTTAATGGTTATGGATGGGTTCGGATTTGGGAAATTGATGCCCAGAAAGAGCCCTTTGTATATAATGTCTTATACTTTGCTCCTATTTTGTTTTGTCTTTCATTTGATTGAAATTTATTCCCCTTTTTGCCTGATTGTTTTATATAACCAATATTGTGTTTTGTAGACAAGGATCGTACACATATAAACGAGGTACATCAGCTGTATTAAAAACAGAAGTCAAGAAGATTGAACTTGAAGTTTTAGAAACTGAAGTGAGACCACAAGCTATGGATACAGATTAACTTAACTGTAATTCCATTTGTTATGTTATGTAATTCTCATCTTATATTGTACCATTTCAATTAAAACTTCATTTGTAATTTACGCTTGCTGCATTATTTCTGTAACTGTACCATTGCTTTTGGTGAAAAATTAATATTTGCTGTAATATACCTCATTATGAGTAAGACTTTCAACATGACAAGAATTTGAAGAGAACTTCATCATGCAATGAGGGAAATTTTACCAGGACAGATGCATTAACCTATCTGTTGTTCAAATGTGAAAATCTGTATAATGGATTTTGCTCCTCTCTATTTGCTAGGAGCTCACACTACACTCTGATATGCATGCTGCGAGTTCCCAAATTCTCTACCAAAAAATTTTCAAAATGTGGAATTAAGATCTGAGGCACAAGTCTGGATCCTATTGCTAAAACCAGCATTACTATAAAATTGCATGCTTCATATCATTTGTCCTACTGAATGAATAGTCATTTCATCCTTGTCAGTAGCTCGAACCATAAATCAGAATTAAAGATAGGTTTAGAAACAGTCCATTTTCGCATTGATATTATTTGACAATAAAAATCAAGTCAATCTTCAACAATAATATACTTTATTTACAGTGTAAAATTAACAACTAGATAAAAACACACACTATACAATATAACGGTTTGAGTTAGATATATTATTTTATAATAACAATACTATTACTGGTATTCTAATATCTTCTACAACAATTACTAGCTTATATTTTATACTTTCATTTTCGAGATTTTCTCTTTTTCATCACATCAAGCTCCCCCTTTCTAGAAAAAAATCTTTTGATAAATATGGAACTTTACTGTGTGAAATATCACATTTTCGACAATAATTCTGATCCTAAAATATTTGAAGAAACGATGTGATTGAAGTAAAATCAGCATATTATTTGTTTATGAATAATTCTGGCAACCTCAGCATATTGGACGGAATAGAATAGCTGAACAATATTTTCTGGTGTATATGCGGTAAACAATAAAAAGAATATTACATCTAATTACAAAAAATACAAGCCACTAAATACAAATTATTCTTAGCATATATTAAATAATTATTCTTGTTGAAGTATGTTTACTTGGGAAATATATATTTTCTGCAGTCTGTTACTTCTTAATATTGGCATTATTTCAATTTCAAAAAAAAGGATTTAGACTTTCAAATTGATTTTTTAGTAACATCTCTTAAGAAGAATTAAAAACTATTTCTTAAAAGAGTGGTCCTGATTGTGATCCAACATCACAGAATATAAATTTACATCTTAACTCATCTACTAACAATACAATCTAGAAGATTTCAACTTATAAATAATGCTGTAATAATAAGAAATCAAATGATATAAATATACTAAGGGAGAAATAGTAAAATAATACATCACTCAATTAAGACTTAAAATCTTTTAGAAAACCAATAGAGACATGCACAACTAAAGAATTTCCAGAAAATATATTTGATTGCTTTAAAAATCCATATATTTCCATATACAATAACAAAATGTTATATCTGAGCTTGTCGAAATAATCCTGCAGACAGGCAAACAAATACTACTTCAGTAGGGGTTCAGACTGAAATATGTCAGTTGTCTGATCGCACAGTACAAAACTCAGGGTTACAAGCTGTTTCAGAATATAGTGCATTAACAGTACTCAAAGATACTTTTAAAAAAGCCTATCAATAGTTTTAAATAGGCAATAAAAACTATGAATTGACATTATTTAATAGGTAAAGGTGAAAAGCTTCTAGAACTAAACATCAATATATTTGATACATATGACTTTGCCTTATATTACAGTTTGGTTTGAGGAAAAATTCAAGGATTCCTGTAGAGCACAAAGATTCAGTAGTGGAAACATAGAAACAGGCTTTTAACTATAAAGAATTAGACTTCTATTATATTTATATGATTCAAAAATTCATAAAAAAATATAAGAAACAAATATCAAAATGAGAGGGACGGATCAATAAAATACATCTATAAAATTCATTCTAAATTACACAATTAAACATATATAATTAATAAATAAGCATACATATATAGATAAACTTGGTTGCACCCTGAATATCAAAATGTTGAAGAAAAGCTCTTATTCATTATGAAATACAGAACACAGAGTGAAGACCAATTATAACTACCTACAGCAGTAAACAAAGGTGACAAACAAGAGTCTATAATGAAAATGCTACATAAATATCACTTCGCTATGTGGAATCTTCAAAAAGGATACATACTGTGACAGCCCAGACCATAGAGATATGTGGTACTCTAAAGTTCGATGATTGTAGCCAATCCTCATCATTGCTTTAAATAAATAAACTGAATTACACTTTGAATATCAATTGACAGCAAGGAATTCATTTCTTGACCAAGTTGACAATGATCATACTTTAAAGACATTTGTTATGACAATACAAACCAATCTTCTTTCCTTAAAGCATACTTTAAGCAGAATCTCAAGTTATATTTCTGGGATTGTATTCCTTGTACAGTTACTTACACATGAAATGTTATAAATGGAATGGATATCCTGCCAAATTCCTGATATAAACAGAAAAAGGAAATTTGACCAGAGAATGGAATGTACAATATTATCACACTATTACATTATGCAGTAGAACCTTTTTTATCTGCATGTTTCCGTTACTGATAAAATCATGAGATTTAACGAATGTATATATATATATAAATAATAATTGGACATTATCAAACTTCATCATTTATTCAAAATCTCAAAGAAATAACAGTTTATCACTTATATTTTTGAATAATTCTCAAAATAGTTTGGACCAGCCAAAATAATATTTGGGAAACTTAATCACGATATCTCAAACAATTCATCCTACATACATCAAAAGTTTCTAAACTTTAAATCTATAAATAAAAGACAACAATTGACATTTAAAATAACACATTATTACTTATATGAAATATTGAATGATGGTTAATTAATTATGTAGAAACTTGGTTCCCAGCCACGAATACTAGTACACCCCTTTCCCCACTGCATGGGGAGGTTTCAACGTATCTTAAAATATTTTCGGTATAACAATCTATAACAATTACTAATGTTGGAGGGTACCAGGGATGTCTAAATATAGAAAAGGGGTACCGAGAATCCAAAAGGATGGGAACCCAGGCTTTAAATCATAATAACAAGAGCATTACAATCCATACAATCTAAAACTATGGCCATACATGTAGTGCAAGGGAATGTGTTATATTAATAATGGTGTGTTCTGTCTCTTCTAGAATATAATAATTTATTGTGGTGGTACAGGGGATGGGTTCTCTAATTGAAAATGTTGATACATCTTCTTAGCCTCTCCATAAACATATTCTATACTAGGTCTTTCATCTGGATTAGGATTAATACACTTTCTTACTAGTTCACGTAACTGAAACAAATGCAAAATTTTAATTAGAAAATCATATTCATTGAAGGTCTCGAGAAATGGTTATTAATAAAATTGTATTTATTCTCTACACAATTTGGCTCTAGGTTAATTCAAATTTGCAATCTTTAGCAATAACCAGTATGGTAAAAAAAAAATGGTAAAAAAAAAATAGCACAAGAGAGATCTTTAGATTTGAACCCAAATATCAAGACTGTCAAGAATGGAACAAATTAAAACCTCTATGAAGTCTACTTACATTTTCAGAATAGATATCTGCTGGTAATGGTGGATAATCACATTGTTCTATTTTCTTACATAATGAATATAGATTCATTTTATCACCATAGAATGGAGACTGTAGAGCAGCCATCTATAATAATAAGCAGTGTAAGAAAGGACATTAAGAAGATAACTTGATGAAAATCACTAATTAAATTGATACATGAATATAACTCAGGGAATGTTATACTAATGACCTTTTTCATGTCACAAATTAGAATATTGCTGACATCAGAACTCTCTGGGTTGGCTTCTTTTTAGTTGGTCCTAAAGGTAGGAAAGAAATTGTCCTTACCTCATATAATAAACAACCTAATGACCATATATCAGATTTAAAATTATAGCCATTTTCATGTATTCTCTCTGGTGACATATAATATGGTGTACCAACTGAAACAATAAATATAGTCATCATTTACTGTTACTTACATTGAACAAAACAAAATACAACAAAGACAAACTAACTTATAAAATATAACTTTTTTCACAACAAAAATATACTAGAGCCACATGTGGCACAGAGTGGGACTTTGCAAACGTGCAAATTTGCTAAATGGAATGTGAATAAAATGTTGCCACAGTAGGCAACTTAAATAATGAGAAAGCAATGCTGTAACCGTATGCAACGTCATTTTTTGAAAACATTAAAAATTCTATTAAGAAAAACAAAATTTCACCCGGATGTGCCACGCTCACGTCAAAGTTTTTGTTGTGACTTTATCAAAATTAATAATAATAATAATGCCTAAATTTTCAAGTCTTTACATCCATTGGTTAACCAGATATACAATCATATATGTCAACAAAGGTCAAAATCTAAAATTAAAAATTTTGAAATTCTAAAACCCGTTCCCTTTACACTATACAGCCGAAACATCTGAGATTTTGATATAATTGGGCTAAAGTAATGAGGTAAGTGTGTGCAAAAGGATTTTCCAAAAAATTGTACTGTATATATATTTTTTCCAGACAACAAAATGTAAACAAAATGAAAATTTAACCCAGATGTGCCACGCCCTCGTCAATTTTTTTTTTGATGGATACATTTACATGGGGTATGATTAATTATGGTCCAAATCTAAAGCCTCCGAACTTTAAAGATCATGAAATGTGCATTTATTAATGTCAATATATTCAAAAAATCGGGTAAAGGTTTCCAAGATTGCAAAATTTAAAAATTTAAAATTTTGCATTACAATACATTGTGATATATCGTTGGAAAGAGCTCATAAAGCCCATTCAGAATATGCAAAAATGAACTCTCTAAGTTAATTAGGTCACCTGTAGGGGCAGGGCAGTACAAAGTTGGGAATTTGGCTATTTTCGGACAGCTATAAAACCGGAAGTAAATGTCGGAGGTCAAATTTCAAAGTATGATCTGATAGCCAAGGTCAGGTCATCAAAGGTCAAGGTCACAAGATACAAGCCTTCAAAAATTGAAAAAAATTCGACCGGAAGTTGCAAAAAAGCAAAAGTCAAATTCAAAAATCCATTCGCAACATTTTTGTCTCCATCGACTAAAGTATACACCAACATAAAAATTTGACCAATCCCATTCTCCCCCGAAGCCCTATTTTGAATTTTATGAAAAAGTATCAAATCAAGATGGCGGCCGAAGTATTTTTTTTGGACTAAATTTTATTTTAAAATCGGCCATAGAATTACGATTAATAACGATATACATAATTTCGTTGAAATATTTCAATCACACCGGATGTTATTCAACCGGAAGTGAAAATCGATTTTCCACTTTAACCGGAAGTGACGCAAAATTTTTGAATACGTCAAATGGTTTACATTAGTAACATGCATCTTTTATCAAAATTTCAGGTTAATCCGAAAAAACTGAAAAATGGTCTAAAAATTTCGAAAATCGGCCAAAAAATGTATGCTACGAATTTTCGAAATTTGAAATTTTTTTAACTCATATCACATTGGAATTTAGTCACAGATTCCAAAAATGAAAACCCGAGCAAAATCGGCCCAAAAATGTGGCTTCCAGGGTCAAAAAACCCGTTTTTGCTCAGGTTGCAATGTGCAATTTTCCTTTTTCGAAAAATGTTCCAATTTATATTTAAAAAGTAGGTCGCCATGATAGAACATATTTCAGAAATGTTGCAGCTAGCATCGAAAAAAAAAAAAAAGAATTGACATTTCAATAACAAACTTTGCTTTCAGCAAAGTCCCACAATAAAACCTATAGGCATTTTTTTTCAGGGTATTATTACTCTATACACCCATTTAAACAATGTTTTACTTTTAATGCAAAATGTCATAAATATAAGACATCACAACAGAAATTAAATAAGTGTAAAGCTAATTCTTACCTAAGGAATGTGCCGCTGTAGTTTTAGAACTAAAGAATCTCCCAAGACCTAAATCACCTAGTTTAACTACACCTTGTGCTGTTATAAATACATTAGCTGGCTTAATATCTGAAAGATCAAATTCATATCATTAGCTATGATGAATTTTGAGAATGAAAACTAATGCATCGCAGACTATATAATAGTGATGCAGAGTGATATCAGGTGTTCCATGGAACTCCATGGAAATAAAAGTTTATTACAATGTTGATAAAACATATCTGCCTTAATACTATTGCCAAAATTTTCTTAATTATACATCAACTAATGGTCTCTACTAGAACTGTCTAAATCACATCTCAATTTTACTTACCTCTATGCATGATACGTTTTGAATGCATGTGATGAAGAGCCATACAAATCTGTACAAAATACTTCCATACTGTTTTCTCTGGTATTAATCTACCTTGTTTCTTGAAGTGCTGAAAATAAAAGAAATATATCTACCATGACCAAAAAGAAAATTTGAGATCAATCTGGATAGAATGATTTACAGCTAAATGCTTTTTATGACATGGATAAAATCTACCTAAATCCTAAATGGAACTAAATGATATTTAAAATGATTTTGTACACACTATTGTTTATGATTTTGTACACACTATTGTTTATGATTTTGTACACACTATTGTTTATGATTTTGTACACACTATTGTTTATGATTTTGTACACACTATTGTTTATGATTTTGTACACACTATTGTTTATGATTTTGTACACACTATTGTTTATGATTTTGTACACACTATTGCACATGCTAATTCAATAACCATCCGAATGGATATAGTGACTAAATTTTTTATTTGATTTTTATATTGATAAATTGCTCAATTAGCTACTCTTTCTGTTTAAAGCTACAATTACTTACTTTGATCATTCTAGATAAATCTCCAGCATCAGCTAATTCTAAAACAATATTCAACTCATTGTTCTCAATAAATGATGCTAAATACTTTATTACATTATCATGGTTTAATTGCTGAAACAAACAGGAAACAAACTTCTTTAAGTTACATTTTTACATTTAAACCATATTATATTATTAATAAAGCAAGTAAAGAAAAATAACATGGAATTTGAAATGAATGTATACAAAATCAATCTACAGTCTAACTATATCTAACTTTAGTCTAGGCCAAAACAGATCAGAGTCATTGCACAATACTGAGAATAGCAAGGCATTGATCTCCTAAAGAATTTATAACACATTGATTGAACAATTTTCATTTATTGACAAAAACTACAGAATGAAAAAAGAGCTTAAAGGGATACTATGTCTAAGCATGAACATAAAATTAAAGAATTTTAAACTTGGCCAATAAGAGCCAGTAGATATACCTGGTGTCATAAATAACATAACAGGATCCTTATATAATCTGATAGATCCAAAAAACTTAGTAATTATCCATAAATATGCAATTAACTATTGAAAAACGCTTAATATTAAGATTAAGCGTTTTTCAATAATTACTTCGTTTTATGAATTTTCCAATTTTACAGGGATTTTGTTGTAACTTTATGACACCAGGTAAGTTCACTGATGAATATATACTCATATTGACCATTCTTGAGAACTTAAATTTTATGTTCATTCTAAGACGTAGTATCACTTTAATCAGTAGCCAGATATTCAAATCTATTATTTATTGACAACTTGGTTATATTTAACACTGTGTAAACAAGTCTGCATTTAATTGCACTGGATAACAGCATTGTCAATAGAGAAATAGTTATACCTTTAATAAATCAATTTCTTTTATACAATCTTGTCTAGCTTTAGCATCCATCATCTCAAATATCTAGAATAGATCATATTTACAATCATCACCAGTTATAATTAGTTCTTCCTTTTTGGATTTGGATTTTGGATCTAACTACACTTACACAGAATAAAAAACATTTGGTCAATTTGATTAAAATGCCCATTTAGATGTTTTTTATGATGAACTCTGTTTACCATCTATAATCTTGTGAAAGAATCACAGAATACATAATCATGGTAATTAATATTATATAAGTGTGTTTGATTGATGAGCATGAATTACAGCAATTCTTAATATTCTGGATGAACATTTCAATATAATTCAAAGAAATATCAGATCTTGAATGGCGAGTGTAGTATTTAATCCAATCCCAAAGAAAAAACAGACCAGTATTATAATCAGATTGATATTTACTGAAAGCTCAGATTATATGATTATTTAGACAGGATTATACAGATACAGATGACAGGCTATTGTTTCAGGTCCCTGTTTAATAGAAAATAATAGCAGAGAAAGCAGATTGAATGGAGACAATTATTGATAATCCACTTTAATGTGATATCATTAACTTCATAATTATACACTAATTTATATTTCAACATCATTTTCAAGATAAAAATATTTACCTGAACTTTTTTCAAAGCAACAATTTCTTGATCTACTTTACATTTAGCTCTATATACTTCTGAAAACTGGCCTTTACCAATCTTTTTATCAATTTCAAAATTAACTAAAGCAGCATAATAATTATCAGGATCTACACTCGGCTCAAAATCCATTGTCATCATTTTGAGAGATCACTGAAATTATATAAAACATTTTACAAAGCCACTCTATTTTTTTTTATACTTTCCTGTTATGTATGATTTGTGGTTAATGACATGTATTATTCAGTTTATATAGTACTCTCAACAGAGAATGAAAATCACACTGTAATAAGTTAAGTGTGGGTGACATCCCATATAACTCTGTTGGTAATATTCATTTAGAAGGCTTAAAAGGGTCTTTAATGTTCAAACCTCAAGTCTATCTTTCACTCGTCACCACAATATCCAGCTATTACGAAGTTCTTCTTGTACTCAGAATGCAGCAATTTGATTGGATTTTATGCAAGCAGATACAGCCAATCACAGCCCTTGACAGACAGATTATTTACAGACTTTGATTGGCTGTATTCGGTATTATCAAACAAAATCCCTGCATTTATTAACTTGCAAAAGGTTGATATTGCTGTCAAAGTATAAGAAGAAGTTTGTAGTTGCTTGACATAGTGAAGATGTCCATCACTAAATTAAGTTATTTCACATGTCAAGGATGATGCAACAAATAAATAAACATGTTCAAATTGATAAAGATATCATACCGATAGTAGATTCTAGAGACATATCATTGATAAATAATAAGAATATCAAATGAATGTACAATAACTTAATATACCCTAAAGATCGATCAACATTGTATTCTCAACATTTTACCCCAGAAGACCAATAAGAGCAGCATCAGATTTCATTAAATTTTCTCCTGAATCCATCTTGTTTTTATTGGAAAATGACCTTATATACTATGACATATAAAATAAAATAATCCTATGAATGATCTCTGTGCATCTTTCTGCTTACCAGAATATCAACATTAATGAAACCACGTTACTCCTGGGCCTGTGTATTTGTGAACCACTTTTCAATCTACCATGCAATATACAAAATGCTATGTAAAAACCAGTTTGAAAGTATTTATTGATCTATCCAGTCTAACTAACATTGAGTTTATATCTGATGTAAACATAGACATGAAAACACTATTAGGTCTTAATAATCTAATCATATAGACTAGAGCTTTGGTTTAAACCTATAGTATAAGCTAATATACTAAAGATTAACTATTTATCAATAGTACTAAGGCCAAGCCAATTTATTTTCTTGTTTTATTAAGGGAGGAAAAAAAGACAACATAAAAAAGGCCAAATTTGTGAGGGCAGAAAAGGAAAAAAAAAGAACCTTAAAAAAAACCAAGACTGACATTGACCTGTATTTTCCTACTTACTTTACCATATATTTAATTAATAATTGGAGTTTTTGATGATGATTTTTTGTAAATTAGGAATGAAGGTTGCCTAATTTTTTCTAAGCATAGCTGATTTTAAGGTGTTTTTTTAACTGATTTTCAAAATTATGGTAGAAGGATCCATTAAAGAAGAAAATAAATTGGTGTGGCCTAACTGTACTTTACTTCATATGGTCAATATGACCAACATAGATTGGGTACTTAGTAATTAATACCTGTAGTAAGTTAATTAGCAATCAATAAATCAGACAAATAGCTTTAAATATTCATTTCAAATTATCTTATTCTGTCCTTTTAAATTCAGCCAAGCTTCATTCAAATAATGGGGGTATAGCTGGGTTTCCTTGCAAAAATAATTTCTACTCCATTTCTAAGAAATTTCAAAATATGATTTTATAATCCATGCTTTTGCCCATAAGTGTATATAGTTTTTTCTAGAATCAATCATCATAAGGTTTAAAAAGTGAAAATATCTCTTTTCATTTCACTTTGAATTTAATAAGGCAATGTTATGAATTAATCATTCTTGTAGTATTGCTATAAGAATTGTGCACAAAGGTAAAAAATACTGAAAATGGGAAGCTTATTTGACAAGAAAAAAAAGGATTTACATTTTTCATGTAATCTTTCTCTACCGGTATTATAAAATGTTCTGTCACCTGCTTACGACAGCTTATGTCAGAGTTCTGAGCTTAACGAGTAAACAATTACAGTAGATCTACTCACCTCAAAATTTTTAGAATTTACAAACACTCAGTGACTGAGTGAAATATTGTTCAATCAAAAAACATGCATAGTATTAGGCCTAGTAACAGTTACATTTAAATGTAAATAAATCATGAATCAACACATAACATATATATCAAAAATAGAAATTTAGACTAGATCTAATACTCAGAATTATAAAATCATCTCTGTCAAACAGATAGATCAATATCAATCATTGATTTATTGCCATTACTGGATTTTTGAATATTGGTTGGATATGATTAGCCTACCCCGGATGAAAACAACAGCCAGGAGAGGAGTAAACTTCCGACTTGTGGGGATCATGGATAAGAGACTAAAGTTGACTTTTGATTGTGAATATAAATATAAGTGCAAAATACCTGGACGGAATATGACATGAAAGACCACTTATTTACTAAAACAACCAATTCAAGACTACTTTTTGTTTATAACTATTTCACGGAAGTGGCAATCGCGCAGGTGTACTATGCTGGGGGTCCCGTTAGAAATCCGTTATATGACCTTGACCCACGAACGAAGAGCAAAGGGACCCGAAACTATTCCTGTCTAATCGTTTTACAATTGATTTAGCAGGAAATAAAAAAGAAAACAAAAATAATCAATACAAACATCAAATATTAATTAAACATAAACATACCCCATTCTAATTTGTTTGACTTATCTTACGAAAAAGAGTGTTCGGTAGTAATAGAGTTTATCGGTAGTAAAGAGACGCTGTGGTCATTTCCTCTCCCTTTTTGGAACTGAGAGAAAAGAAAATTATTTTTATCTTCATCCTAGTTTTTGGCCATCGGAACTGTACTTAGAATTCTGTCTTAAGCATTTTTGATAAGTTCAAAGAAATATCTACATAAAATGGAGAAGAAATGAACGAATTGGGATCAAAGTAATGAAGAAACTTTTAAACAAAATTTAGTGTTTTTATTGGAATGAGGTGATGAGCAATCAATGAAGGTGTAATTTGATGGAGTGACAGGTCGAGAGGTATAATCTGTGAATCATTATGTATAACAATACAAAACCACCTATCAACCCAAACAACGCTATGATGTCTATCATGTCACAACAAACCAGAACAAATCAAACATTTACAACTGGAAAAAAGATGGGTGGAAACAGTCCAGTAGTTTATAATAAATCACTCATTGAAAGTAGAAATGATTTTAGGAGCTTCTCTACTGCCAATGATGCTAATGTTTATGCTAGGCCTAGAATGCACCCAGAGCATAACACTGATGTTGTTTATCATGCTGATTCACAAATGTACCAGTCTCCACATGGTGTAGATGCCCATTACAGTCAGAGAAATTTTTCTTTACTGAGTGACATCAACAGATTTAATGAGCCAGCACCATACTCAGATCCAAGATCAAGGGCATTTTCACCTCAACATCAAATAGCAAGCAATAGATTTTCTTCAGCACATGTGAGGAAACCAGTAAGTGGAGGTCATTTATCAATGCTTCCTAATGAAAGATCAAAGTTTAATCTTAGTGGTCACAATAGTGGTTCCAATTCGAAATCCAACTCTGATTGCTCTTCAGAATTAGAAAAGGAACTGTCTGTTCTTACTAATAAACTAGAAAGTGAACTAAGTGTGAAAGATTTAGATGGTGGATCTGACAGGTCACTTTCACCTTACAATGGTTCAACTTACTCTGATGGTATGCCTGTGCAGGTACCTATAAATAGAATGACTAATAAAGGTGTACAGTCCCCTCTCAGAAAACCTCCAAGAAGTATAAACTTCCAAGTTACTCCTCCGAAAGTGAAAGGTTTGTCAGATGCTGAGAAGAAACTGGAAGCTTTGACTCAAGAATTAGAAGATGAAATGGAAAAGAAACCGCATGGTGAAAGTTTTGGACATTGCAGTGCCTGTGGAGAACCTGTGTCAGGCTCATCCAATGCCTGTCAAGCTATGGGTAGTTTATATCACACAAAATGCTTCACATGTTGTTCATGTGGTAGAACATTAAGAAGTAAAGCATTTTATAATGTGAATGGGAAAGTTTATTGTGAAGAGGATTATTTATACTCTGGTTTTCAGCAAACAGCTGATAAATGTGTTGTTTGTGGTCATTTGATCATGGAAATGATACTACAAGCAATGGGTAAATCTTATCATCCTGGCTGTTTTCGATGTTCTGTATGCAATGAATGTTTAGACGGAATCCCGTTCACAATAGATTTTGATAATAAGATATACTGTGTAGAAGATTATCATAGAATTTATGCTCCAAAATGTGCTGCTTGTGGATTAGCTATAACACCAGTAGAAGGTACAGAAGAAACAGTTCGAGTCGTATCAATGGATAAAGATTTCCATGTGGACTGTTATCATTGTGAAGGATGTTACATGCAGTTAACAGATGACCCTGATAAAAGATGCTATCCTCTAGACAATAGTTTATATTGTCATACTTGCCATATTGAGAAGATGAATGAAAAATATCCAAATGAGAGATTCTTTTTTAATCCAACAACTAACAATATCCAAACAGAAGACCAATCTGGAAACTTTACAACTTGTTCTCCATCAAGTTACAAAGCCTTTCCAGTCAATGGAGTTAGTATGAATAATTATGCTTCTACTAAGGAGACATAGATTTCTTCTTTATAAAGTATTATTATTATTGTAAATTTATTGTGAGATGTCGGGTATGTAGTGCTCAAATGGTTTTGCTATATTCGATTTAGTTATTTAGTTTCTGGAAAAACGTGTTATATATGCACTGGGTCCAACTAATGGGGGTATTTTTTACATTAGAGGAGTCATTTAATGGGTTCTGTATAAATAGAAATGTGATTTTAATATTAAAGTCTAGTCTACATGCTACATGAAATCATCTAAAAGATACAATGTACATGTATTATAACATTAAAATTTCAAGCTTTTTCTGTGTCTGATTTTTTAGCGGTTCATAATATGAACTTCTAAGTAGTTTTTTTGAGCACCAACTATTTTTTACTACAATTTTAAGAAAGAAAGTTTTACGGCGATTACAATATCATGGTACTTTATTACAGTTTTTAATGTAAATAGTTAAATTTGTTAAAGGGAATTCCTGTCTTTTTGTTTAAATTTATGTTATTTATATAATCAAAGTCAATAAAATCAAACAGTTTTTTGTTATATATATCTGCTTGAAAGTTTAAATGCTAACTTAACATGCTTTTAGAGGCCAACAAATATATTGATACTTTTTTTATACACAAAAAATAACTTTTTACTTTTATTAGATGTATTATTTAAACCTTAACAATAAAATACTCATTAAGTATGTCATGTGTGATAGCTACAAACTTGTATGTAGTGCCAGTTGATGACAAAATATATGTTAGGATACATGAAGCTTTCTGTACAAATGGAAAAGATGCTGTTTTGGTGCCAACTGAACAATCAATTTGGTTAAATTTCGCATCAATATGATTAAATTTTATATGGTTAGATGCACAATGCTTACTTGATGCATTTGAATGAGATTATAACCTTATTTTAAAACTAGTAAATTCTTTTGATAAGATTATGTTGAGATAGGGCTGATAAAAGAAGTGAGCACGCAGCTGTGATCAAACTCTATATCTTTTTAAAAAATGACAAAATATTATTCAATAAACCTGACACAAATGATATGTAATTTTATGTTTTGTTGTGTGAGACAGTCATATTTGTAGTCCCAAATGTTATCATAAGAGTGGAAAATTTCTTCAAGGTGAAAAGTTTATAAGCTTATAAACCATTTTCACGAATTTTTAAAGATTAATATTTAGTGTGATAAATTTTCTATTTTATTTACTAATGTACTTTTTACATACAGATTAATAAACAAGAAATGTTTCATGATCAAGATGATGTCAACTTTTGGACTGAAACTTATCTATTATTGTCTATAATATAGAGAATAGATCTTAGAATTTTTTCTCAGAAATCCTATGTCTTCCATTAGAGACAAAAGTTTAGAAAAGCATTTTACATTTTACTTTGTTTTCTTTTCTATCAATAGAGATATCAGTATGTGTATATTTGATATTGGATCTGATCATTTCATATGATAATTCCATTGGTTTTATTCATTTTAGAAGTAAAAATTTCTAGTCTGTTATGATTCACTAAAATGGTTGTTTCTAGTTGCACTTCTATAATCATAAATATTGAGTGAAGATATATTATATAAAATGAAATCTTAATTCATCATTGTCTATATTCCCATCCCACTTCTGATGTTCTGTATATTTTAAAGTTGTATTTGTTTATGCTTGCATATACCCATGATAGAAAAATAGGATTAGGCATCAACTATATATATATATATATTATTGTCTTCATTTTATTTTGGAATAAAATTTTTTAAAAATACTCTCTTTTTTTTCTATTTACTGTTGTTGTATGTGATGATTTCAAGGGAAGCTGGAATCTGTGTAGACCTAGTATCCATAATATGATTAACTCTCTCTTAATAGTCTGTAAATATCAAGACTTGCTAACATAAATTCTAGTGGGGTTATAGTAACTTGACCCCTAACCAAAATGGCCCAATAATTGGGTCATAATGACCACTAAGTATGATAATGTGAAGACACCTATGTGTATAAAATTATTTAACTGTGGTCAGATTGTCTAAAGAATTGACTGAGTTGTCTTTCCTGTAAGGGAGAAATTGTGTAGTATGATAAAAAATATATTACTATGTTGAATTGTCTCATAAAGAAATTTACAGATTGATAATTCAATTGTTTGTAAATAACATCGTTTTAAAGATTTTTTGATGATACTCGTTAGGAAAAAGGTTATACAGAAAGTGTCACTAAATATACTAATTGATCCCTAAATGGCGAGTTTCGAGCTTCCGCGGTAATTTTCTGTATTGGTATTGTATTTTAAAAGAAAAGAAAACTCTAGACCAAATCTGAGGATCATGTCTGATCTACCACCAGAAAGGGAAGTAAAGGTAGAGTTTTTAATCTAAATGATTAACACATTCATATTATTATTTTACTGGTAGACTAAACCGAAAGTAGAATTTATCAATTGTTTATTTTCTGCCCCCTGAATACTGCCTGAGATTTCTGAATTAGATTTACCTGCTTTTTCACAAAAAGATACTTTGAAATACGGCCCAGTTCCATGTAGCACGACAATGCACAATCCTGACTCTAGGACACTCATTTTCAAAAACGTGCTGCCAATGAATATGATGCTGAAGGACAAGGCCTGACATGAAAAATGTTGTTTTATAAACTTATTAGCCTATAGGCAGAGTTGATCTTGACCGTTTAGATAGTTTTTGAAGGATTTTCATCATGATTAAAGCCAAATTTATCATAACTCATCAGTCACCTCATCAACTAGTACTACGTAGACTCGTTTGTAGAACTCCTCTACAATTTTTAAAAAATTTAATGCATAACTTATAGACAAACAACAGAGAGACTGTCAGAATGCAAAGCATACAATTGTAATATTAATTGATTGATGATTCAACTTATTATTCAGGAGTTTCGCTTCCAGCAGTTATGTAGATTTAAGGTTACTGATGAACCTGTTACTTCAAATGATCGGTTACAGCTCTTAACAAATTCTTCCAAATATGCTTTAACGTTTGTTGCTGTCAAGGAAGGTAAGTGTGGATTCATCTTGATTATTTTACTGTACCGTATGAGATAAATTCCTAGGGCAGGAGATTTCATGAAATTTGTCATATTAAAAGAGAAGAATGCCACAAATCATAATTTTACTATCCTAATTTTATTTTTATTAAATTTATCAAATCATAAGATGTGCTGACAGTAAGATGCTAGTTAATTGGAGATGAAGGATGAAACGATATTATTTCCCATTTGTAATCAAAGCTGTACTAAATCTTATACCTTTCTCTCCTTAATTCACAGGTTTAAAAGTGATTGATACTCAAGAATTGATAAAGTTAAATAAAGAACATGCTACGGATAAGAGTGTGTCTACTATATCAAATGTACCATTGCGTACAATCATACCATTTACAGACAAGATATCACATCTAGTTATAAGTTGTGATGATTTAACTCTAGCTGTAGCCTGTAGTAGTAATGGTAATGTCATACTTTATATGTATGATGTCAGAGGTTTTGCTGTTGTGGTATGTAGTCATTTTATTGCTACTTTTTTTTTGCTATACAAGTACAAGTTTACAAGTATCTGTAGGTACATAGATATAATCATTTTTTATTAAATTTGATATATCAAATGTCCAATAAAAAAATATTATTATGACATATTTCAGAATAACCAGCCCAATCCATTTAAAACAGTTCGTTTAAATACTAGTCCAGGCTCAAGTCTATGTGATGTTAGTTGGAACCCAGAGATAACTAATATTATTATAACATGTACAACTGATGGTGGGGTAGAACTATTAGAAGTTAATGACAATGTACAAGTATCAACACTATCAGTATCTACTAATGCTACCTGCTGTAAGTTGTAATTTGTTACAGTTTGAAATGATGTCAATTTACAATTATTTAACATATAACCTAAATGAACTCTTTTTTTTCATTGTCCCTAGGTTTTACTTCACATCATTAATTTTTAGACTGTAGAAAGTGAAGGCACAGTGAAGGCGCTTAACTTGGTGAACCAAGGATAAATCCTATCATAACTTAAAAATGGAATAAAATATTTGATGTTAGTTATGGTCCTTGTTTTTTGAAACTTATTGGATAATTTGCTTGTCTGAGGGAATAGTTTAAATAGATTTTGACGAACATTGACACTGTTATAGTTTATACTAATATTGTTATAGTTTGTTGGAGTCCGAAAGGTAAACAGTTTGTGGTGGGTAGTAAAGATGGAAGATTGACTCAATATGATAGAACTTTGGTAGCTAAAAAGAATTGGCCATGTCCACCAATATTAGAAGGTGGACCATATCAAGGTATAGTGTTAAATCATTTGTCATCTTGGTATTAATAAAGGTAGAAAATCATGTCAGAAAAAGTTTAAAAAAAATATGAGATAACATTAAATTTATATCATATCAACTATGAATCAAGTCATCAAAACTACTTTAAAGGGTACTTAGTCTCATTGATTTGCCTCTAAAGAATTGACGTGGAAGTTGATAATTAGTTTTCAAAAGGATATTGTTTGTATTCAACAAAAATCCAACCCCATATGTTTGTTTCTAAGGGAATTAAATTGTAACATTTCTTACAGTTGTGGATATAGTATGGTTGTCAACGTATATGTTTCTGGTGGCGTATTTACCTCAAACTCCAGATGCTTCTGATCAACCTCAAGTTGTTATGATAACATCATCAGTAAGTAATATTACTTCAAAATCTATATCATCATCAGTAAGTTTTATTACTTCAAAATCTATAACATTATCAGTAAGTAATATTACTCTAAAACTGTCCCGATTTGTAATTATAGCATCATCAGTAAGATATATTACTTCAAAAACCATAACAATTTGTTACAATAGCACCATCATTAAATAATACATGTATGAGTTTATCTTGATTCATTACAGAAAGAAGGTAATACAACCTATGCTAATTTTGAAGATATATGTTTTGGATCTGGTGAAGTAAGAAAAGCTAAATACTATATGAGTCTTATTATGAAATGGTAAGTTTTTGTTGTTAGTGACTAGTTGATCAATAGACAATTTTTCAATCTAGGGAAAGCTGTAAATATTACCTAGTTTTGAAAACAGAAAATATGTCTTGATGTATGATAATAATGATGTATATTTCAGGGAAATGGCTGTGATATCCTCATCTAATGCTACAGAAACAACTATAGTGGCTAAAAATCAAACAGATAAGGTATTTTTAATTACATCTTGATTAATGTTAGATTAATATTTGATCAACCTACTGTTGTTAATTAATTTGATCAAATTTCAAAATACCACTTAAGTTTTATGATGATCAAATTATAAAGTTTTGTTACTTTACATTTGAAATGATTAAACTTCCTTTTACTAAATTTAGTTCCTGAATTTTGACTGAAAATTGACTTCTGGACCCCATTTCTGCAAATATTGTAGACTAACATATGAGCGTAAACGTTAAAATATGTATTTCTTCACTCAACGTGCAAGTTAAGTCATACAAATGTTTTAGAAACGGGGTTCAGATATCTGATGAACATTTTTTAACTATGTAATATATTTTCTTTTTCATCAGGTAACATGGGAACATTGGATTCTTGAAGATTCTGGTAGAGCTGAATTACCATTAACAGAGAGTAAAGAGGATTCATTTCCTGTTGGTTTTACATTATCATATACTTCTACTTGTCCTGGTATGTTTGTAAAATTAGTATTTTATTGTTGTAAATTTTATAATTGTTAAGAGTATTCAGAAACATAAAACCAGGTTTTATGATTTTTTATTATAAGCCATGCTCATAAAATGAAATATGTAAAGGTAAATAATCCTTGTGATTTGATAGTACTGATATTAAGAGTGATACCATATGAACTCAGCTTTTAGTCCATATGATCAGGAAAACAAATACCCGAACTCAGAATATGGCTTGTACAAATTATATAACTCGTTGTTTTTAAATGTATATATATATATATGTATACATTTAAACTGATACAAATGTCCAGACTTATATATTATATCTCTATATCAGATCCCAACAGTGTAGAAGCATCACCAATATTAATATTACTATCAACTGATGGTTTATTAGTACCATTCTATATGGTTTATAGTCAACCTGATACAGTCATAGTAACATCACCACCACAACAACTCACATCACAGGGTGAACGCCATGGCAAAGGTTTGTTTTATTATCATAATTTGATTTGTGCATTATAGTGAACAAAATAGAGTTTGGTAGAAGGTTGTATAATCACTTTAAATGAATGAATAGGTAATCTTAGATGTGGAAAATCTTAAGTTGTTTTCTTTATCTGACCAGAATTTGTCAAAATTGGATGTTGAACTTGAAGACCAATTGTGGTTTTGATGAAATATGGTATAGTAATGAATATGCAAAGCAGATAAAAGATTTAAAATACTTATTTTGCTGTCTTATAACACATGAATTTTATTACAGACCCTTCACCTCCACCACAAGTAACATCTAGCCAACCATTACCAGGTGGATCTTTTCAATTTGCTCAAAAACCACCAGTAACCAACAGTGGTCAGTTAACAACACCAGTCAAAGGAACAGACGGAAAAACAAATAGTCTTTTTAATCCTCCAACATCAGAGAGTACAGCCAGGTCCTTATTTGGTAACACTGGGACTCCAAGTTCTGGTTTCTCTTTTTCTCCTGCTACATCTGCTGCTAAGCCATCTTTTGGTACAAGTTTTGGAACTACACCAATCAGTTCTACCCCCTTCTCTTTTACAACTGGTACACCAACTGTAACTACTACATCTAAATTACCACCATTGGGTGCAAGTAGTACATCATCATTTAGTAGTACACCTACTAGTGGTATTGGTACAGCTGGAGGTATAAATACTGGTAAACCACCAATGTTCTCAACACCGGTAACAACTATGTCTAAGCAACCAGAACCTCCTAAACCACCCCAGATAACTAAACCAAACATCTCCTCTGGTATTGGTGTCTTTAGTGGAGCACCAGCCAGTATTACATCAGGTAAGTAAATTCTGGGATATTGATTATGAATTATTCCCTAAACTGTTGTTTATCTTTTGATAATGTTTGGAACATTGGACAAAAATCAATACATAAACACTAGCATTATCCTCAGCATTAGACATGTCATTGATTTACTGTGGTAAAACATTGGGAATTAGGTTCAATAATCATATATATTCTGTTTTTGCCAAGGCTTTAGAGAATTTGAATGCATTATCAGTGATGCTGTATGCCAGAATGGTAGATGAGATGTATATGTGAAAAATACGAAACAGCATGTCACATTTTACTATACATTATCCTGACATGAATAGTAAGTGACAAAAGAGAATAAAATGTCCATCATAGAAACTTGTTAAACTTGAAAATCATCAACTTGTATATTGTTTTATAGCTGGAGTAGGAATATCCAAACCAACAGCTACTGTAGGTGCTTTATCATCTGTTTCTACTGCTGGTGGATCAACTAAACCAACTCCCACTATTTCACAACCTCAAATAAAAGGTAAATGATTTTCTCGGTGACATGTAGTTTTGTTTAGGTTAACATTTAGTCGAAATTTTACTTGCCACACAGTTACCTTTAATGAGTTTGACCCCATTTCACTATAATTATTATCATGCATATAGAAAATAATCTTTAAATGAACCTCATTGCTATTTCATTTCTCTGTATGATGTTATTTTAGCACTATCTAAAGTGGACAGTGACACTAGTAAATCTGTTGATAGTTTAATACATGAAACAAGTGAATCCACTTTTACAGACAGTATTATAGAAGAGGTAGGTACAATTAACATTATACCAAGTATCTTTGCATCAAAATCTTTTTTATGGATGGAATAAATTCCATTCAAATGTGGAATCAAGAAATTCTGATTTTGAGAAAGTCATTTTGTATGGATAGATATGAGTGATTTTTTAACGTTTATCATTCCAATGAAAAATTGAATAACTTGTCTCTATGACCTGCTTCAAATATGTAAACAAGACATACTCATTTGTTACAATGTTTTCAGATGGCTCATTTTGAAAAAGAACTAAGAGAACTGAAAGCTAGAACAGGAGGATGTAAATGTGAAATTGGTACCAAATCAGAAATGCAGAAAATAAAACAAACGACAGATGAATTTAGTAAATTTTGTTATGATATTAAAGATATAACAAAGGTACATTGAATTATTGTTTGTTAGACTGAAATATGCTGTTTGATTTTGGATATTGAATTCAATAGTAGTCTACTTTATTCTATATTGAGATCTAAAGAAACTCATCTTGGTTCATTGCCTTGGATTGTTGATATTTGACCATAAGCAATGACTTTTACAGGTTTGATGTCATACCTTGACTTCATTAGCCTTATTTTTTGCAGCATGAAAGTTTGTAAACAATAAGCCTTAATAATTACAGTATTTCTGTTAAAGACTCTGATTGGCTGTATTCAGTAGTGAACAATCCAATTAAATCACTGCATTCCATGATACAAGAAAAGTGCCTTATGATGTCAAGGTACTAGATGCTTAGTTCCTCTCAGCTTGACATTTTGAAGATGTGATAAAAACTTTTAAGTAAACCTAAAATGGATATATTTCTGCTATAGTAATCTTTAGTAAAATTGTCATACTTTCTCCAGGAACAAAGTAGAGAAGTATCAGAACAAAAGGCATTGTGTTTAGATTCCTTTGCTATGGCTGAAGACTGTAATGTACGTAAAGATAGAAATAATGACCAGAAGTATCATAAATTACTGAGATCACGAGCTCTAGACCCCGCTAGTGCTGATACTTTAAAGAAATTACAACAACAATATCAAGCTATAAAACAGGGAATACAGGATGTTGATTTAATATTAGATACACAATGGGACAGTTATCAAAATAAACATGATAAAAGATCAAGGTATGTATCAGTCATTTGATTAATAGTAAGATTTCTTACTGTCATTGATATCTATTTTCTCTGCCTTTGGCCAGTGTAGGCAAGTTTTTAGCAATTCCTCACCATATTCCTATGATATTCAAAACACTTTATATTGGTGTCACAACTTTAGCACATATTTGCACCAGGTCTGCTCAAAGATCTTTAGTATGTCCGACAATTTGGCAAAGTGTCTTTCATTAGATAATACTACATGGTGGTTTCATATACATTATTCAATTTTAACCAGTAGGATGAAGATAGTTCTTTCCCTGTCACAATGACTAAATGTAGTTTATTTTTTTAAGAGAGAGCATGTAGTTGATGCATCTATCAGTACCCTCCAAACAAAATAATGATCTTGGAAATTACTGGTAGTGATGAGCTGTAGAATATTGTTTAAGCATTATCTTATCAATATAATATATAATAACATTTTAGATTACAAAGACCAACTAGTGATACTATATACAGAGCTGTTAAAAGTAATCATAATTTAATAACTAATCAAAAAAATAAAATGGATGAAATCCAAGAAATGTTAAAACATCTTCAGCTGTATAAATCACCATTAAAACAAACTTTCTCACAAAGCATTCAATCATCATTAGATAGAGGGTAAGTGTTAAGACTTATTTGTAATATGGAATAATAATGCTTACCAAGCTGATAGGCGTAGATTCTAAACCAGAAGTGTACATTTCTCTGTTTTTTTTTCCAATGACCTGTGACATTTGAAAACAAATTGATATTATTAAAAATACCCTCAATTTAAGAAAAGAAGGTCCTCCAGTTTCAAACGTCTGTCTTACTTTATTCTGTGTATATTCACCTAATGTTTAGTTAATTGTCCACATGCATCTCTCAAAAATTGGAAATCAACTTAACTGATGTTAAATTTCAGTAATATATCTGAGAAACCCTCCACCAGATCCTCAGTCAAATCATCACCAGGTGGAGTAACAGTCAGTCCTGAAAAACAGGCCAAGTTACGGAATATGTTAATGAATAGAACTGTACCCAGAATAAAGTCTACTGTACCAGGTACATGTATAAATATTTGGACCACCAGA